TCGCCACATGCGCCGCCAGTCAGATGTTTCCTCGATCCGACGGCTACAGTATCACGACGTCGACCTGTAGGTCAGTGCGGCGTCCTCGGCGTCCTCGGCCACGTCCTCGACGGCGTCCTTCCCTCCGGCGCGCCCTCGTCCCCGGAAGTGGCATACACAGAGGCGCTCACGTCTCATATTTCCAAATTGATTTCATTCTTTTTATGTAATGCGCGTAACTGCCTCGTTGACGCCGCTGTGCACGTGCTGACGCGTTCGCGCACACACACGCACACACACACACGCGTCCAACTGTCGCAACGCGCCGGGCCCGGCCAAGACGGCCAAGTAACCTGCACGCATCGCGGGCGATGCCGTGTCGCAAGGCGGCCACGGAGTGCCACGGAGTGCCCGAGCCATGCGGTCCAAATGATACCCTGCGCCGTGGCGCTCCGTCTCTCTCGCACCCGCGGGCCGTCCGGTGGAGGTGCGAGGGAGACGGCGCGACCGAGGCGGTTGTTCGGGATCGGCCTGCAGGCGCGCCGTGCTGCGCCGTGCTGCGCCGTGCACCGTGGTGGTGGCGAGGGCGCGTTCAATTAGTGTCAACACCAGTGCGGCCGCCCCGCCCCGCCCCGCCCGCCGCCTCTGTGCCGCAATCGAAGGACGGCCGAGCAATCGAGACGCCGCCGGCCGCCCCGCCAGCGCTGCAGCAGCGCCCCGCCGCCGCCGGCCGTGACTCGAATCGCCGTCGCTACCCCCCGCCGCCGCCGCCGCCGTTCGAACATCCCTGGCCCTGGCGCGGGTATACTCCACGCTTCGGGGCAACAATGTCGCGTGGCGATACCCCGCGTCGCTCTTCCAGAACACGGTAGTGCGGGAAGAGTGCTGTCGTTGCGCCCCGCGGCCCCGTGTGAACCTCGGCCTTCGGGCCGCGGGTGACAGCCCCGCGGGGGCGGCGCGCGAGGCCGGACGCGCTGGACTTCCCTCCCCTCCCCCCCCCCCTCTCTCTCGCAGCGGAAGCAGCAGCGCAAGGCGCTCCTTGACCGTTCAATGACGCACCTTCCTCAGTCAATGGGGAGAGGCAAGGACAACGCGCCACACAAACACACACACACAATGTGTGATAATGGCCGTTTGGTGGGGCTCTCGATAAATCCCCGCGCTCCGTCCGTCCGGCAGCAGGATGCGCGCCGGCCGTCCAGGCCGTCCAGGCCTGCCACCACACGCCCCGCCAGGTCCTGCGGAAGACGCGGCTGTTTGTATAGCACGATGTAATTAGCGCGCGATGGCATCAATAATTTACGATTCGTAATGACCGGTCGTGCGGAGGAGCGGCGGCGATACGCCAAACGAGGCTTTGTCTCGCTTTGCTGAGAAACGGGCTGCCTGTGGTCTGTCGGCGGAATGGACTCGGTTTGCCGTGTCGGCGCCAAAACACGTACGGCTACGGCGTTACCACCACCGCCGCGGGGGAAGTTCGGCTAAAGGTTGGTTCGGTTCGGCTAAAGTTAGGTTAGATAAGGTTCGGTTCGGCTAAAGTTGGCAACACGGGCCGGCAGGGCAGTGCTGGTGGGTGATAGGGGTTCGTCATAAAGTACCGAGGCGAATGTCTGCGGCCGGCCCAGGGGAGCCAGGGGCCGGTACACCCGTGCAAATCGTTAAGCGATACTCGAGAGGTTGGCATTCCTGGGCGGCCGTTCACTTCGGCTGGAGCGGTTTTGCGTGGATATGGTTCGAGTGGTTGGTTGGTGGAAGGCCAGAAGCGGAGGCCCGTTAGGCTTATCCTGGGATTCGGCAGTCGCACTTTGAACTTTGAGATTCGATTTTGGAGTCCTGTTGGCTGGAAAATTGTCGGTCGAGTTGGCGCCTGCTCGTGCTTCTGTGGTGGCGCGAAACCCGGGCGGCGGGCGGGCACCCGGGCGCGGTGCGCTATGGGAGCTTGGAAAGTTCGAACTTGGCGGGCGGACCATTGTTGGCGACGGTGGCGCCGCCACGCGGTGGGAAAACCAAACTGCTCCACTGTTAATTGGGCTTTGCTTTTTGTGGGCGACTTTTGAATGGTGCCCAGCAGGCAGGCAGCACGCCTGCAGGCCTGCACCAGGCGGTGTCTGCTTTCGTGTCCGGCCCTCGCCTTTCCCCGCGTGCGATACACTGTAAAGGCCCTTTCTGCCTTTCGCTCGGAGGTCAGGCCGGTACACTGTAACAGCCCGTCGGGGCGTCGCGCCGTCAGGACGGGATGGCCCTTTGTTCGCCGGCCGCAGCCGGCCGCCACTTTGAGGCCGTGAACGACGTGAACGACACCGCTTCCTCCCGGGGTCTTTAACTGATTCCGAGAGTCGTTTTCGTCGCTCCGTCTCTCTCGCCCTCACGGCCCGTCCCGTGGGGGTGCGAGAGGGGCAGAGTCTGCTGGACGACGGCTGGAGAAAAGCGGCGCCGCGGCGGGGATTCGAGCCCGCGGCCGTCAGCGACGACGGCGAGCAGCTGGTGCGCGTTGTGTTTGCATGCGTTTTCGCGCCCGTGGATCCCTAATCCCTGGGCCGCTGCAGTGTGGTGGTCACTCTGGATGGCGGTCGCGGACACGCGGACACGGCGTCACCTTCACTGCATAATGGGCAGCCGCCGTGACGACGACTCGCTTCCTATTGGCGGAAAGGCGGCCCCGCCTGGCTGCCCGCGCCCCGCGCTTTGCTAGCTTTGGTCTCGTCTAGTCGCGCGAAGCCTTATCGTCTGGCCCTTCGTAGAATCAATACTCTCACGCACCCAAACAGACACACACACGCACTCACACGAGCAGACACACACTGACGCATTGTTTGGCGGCTCTGTGTCAAGGAGGCGACTGGCGATTCTAGCGATACAGTGGCGATACGCATCTCCCAGTACCGAAAGGCCATGGAGACGTACAACAACGAGCCATGGCTGGAGCGGCCGGCCCGCCCTCACCAGAGACTCGTCAAAATGAAAACATCCATGATTCCGCGAGGGTCGCTGTGTCTCCCTCGCACTCGTGGGGCGTTCCGTATGGGTGCGAGAGAGACGGAGCGACGACCCTGACGTTTGGTTATCGACGGAAACCGTTGGCGTTACTATTTCCGAAACGCTGCGCCGGCGCGGCCGGGCCCGACCAGGACCGACCAGGAATTGGGACGTCGCTCGTTTCGTCACGGCGTCCCTGCGTCACGGGGCGCGTTCCACACACGTCTTGGCGTCTTTGTCGCTCGGCCTGCCCGGCCTGCCTGCCCGGCCTGCGACGCAGACAGAGTCAGTCCCCTTGCCGCCCGGTTGAGCAAGCCCGCCGGTCCGCCCGGTCGGCCCATGCCATGCCGGCCCATGTCCTTACCCGCCCCCTAAAAGGGTCAAGGGAAGGCCAGAAGGGCGTCGCTCGGGCGGTCGCGCCGGTCGTTCCTGGGGTCGTTTCGGGGCGCGTTCCACTAGGACTCGACCGACCGGGCGCCTCGCGTTTTGACAAAAACGGAAACAAGCAGAAGAACGCGCGTTCGCAGCGCGAGGATGAAAAAGACGCGCGGAGAATGGCGAAAGAACTGACCGGCAAGGCTTCGCGGTGCTTCGCGCTTCGCCGGGACAAAAGATGCCCTTCTGCGCCACCCTCGCCACAGTGCGACCGCTCGAAGCTTGAAAGTCACACGCCGCGTCTTTTTACGCGCCGCGGTCGCTTCTTTTTGCGCGCCGATTGCTGCGATCGGCTTTCCACTTGCATTTCCAGACCGTTTTCCCTGCAACGTGAGAGGGCGCCCCGCCGGCCTTAGCCGACGAATGCTGCAGACTGCTGCCTTGCAGTGCAGTGCCTTGCAGTGGCGGTGCGGTGGACCGGTACGAGGCTAGCGAGGTTGCTGCGAGGCTGCGGGCATTCCCTTCTGGTGTCCTCGCCTCGCAGTCCTCGCGCAACGCAACGACCGCGGGCCACGTATATAGCCGACGGTGGTCATTTTCGGCTACGTGCTCGTGCCTCCATCATCCTCTCGAAAATTAAAGCTGTTGGCGACCGAGTGGGTGTTCCACCTGGCGCAAAGAATGCGCGGATGTTGTGCCCAGGGCTGTCAATTCGGACTCAATTAAACCGGAGCTAGTTGTTGTTGTTTTTTTGTCAATCCGCCTCGTTTTTGTCGGCCGTGCCTGCGGGCGCCCCGGGCTGTGGACACCGTGGTGGACACTGCTGGACAGCCATTGGCGTCGTATTTCCGGATCGGTTCATTTCCCCCGCAGTCCGCCGTGCGCCCCGGCCTGCTTGGCTGCCTGCTTGGCTGCCAGCCGGGCGGGGCGGTCAGTTGGGCTGGCACCACTGGTCACTGGCTTCGGTTGTCCGTGCTCCCGCAGGCAGAACGGAACGTAATGGAACGGTCGATCGGTCGACTTTGGACTCCTCGATTTGTCGAATAGAACAGTTGCCACCGCCTTTTCTTTTTCTGTGCGCGGATTTTCTCTCGGGATCGCTCACCGAGCGAGTTGACTTTTGTGCGCCGGGCTACGGCCATTCGTTGTGGCGCCCCGCCGAGCGATTGTCTCTCTCTCTCACTCTTATGGAGAGCGCCGTGAGTGCGACAGAGAGAGACTCGGGAGAGCGCGTTCGCGTTCGTCCTTTCCCGCCATTGCGACGCCTTCCCTTCCCGCCTCACGCTCCGCCGTGACCTTCCGCGCCATCTGCCGGCCGTCTGCCGAAGCGCGTCGCCGCGCGCGGTGTACGGTACGCGCAGGCGCGCAGGACCTCCCCCCACTCCGGCCTCCCACTCCCAGTATGTAATTACGCAGACCCCGGTGAGGAGGAGGCGACGAGGTGGCCGAGTGGTTAAGGCGTTGGACTGCTAATCCAATGTGCTCTGCACGCGTGGGTTCGAATCCCATCCTCGTCGGTGTTTTTGTTCTTTCTTTTCGCGTTGAGTGAAGGCTGGCGCTCAGGCGTTCTCAGATTTTACGAACCTTTCACGTTTTGAGTGGATGGGGGGAGATATGATGGAAGGAAAAGTGATATATGGGATTAATTTTTATGTCCTATTTTGTTTCAGATTGGGAGCTTGAAAGGCTATTACCTATTCGAACATCCACACGTGAGGAAGCGATCAGTTGAACATAGCCCTGATCATAGAAGAAAACTAGAAAATGAAGAAGAGGTAAGTTCTTTGAGTACCGTCAGCTCATCGCATGTTTATTTTATTCAAAATATTGATATCATTGATTTGCTTTTTAATTTTTTTAGGTGAAGTGGGTTCAACAACAGCATGAACGCAAAAGATTTAAGCGCGACTTTAGTTCTTCAAGTTTTCCATCATTTGCATCCTTCTTTGGACCTCTCAGCAGTCGAGGTAGCAGCTCTGGTGTGAGCAGCTCCCATCACAACCATCATCGTTCTCTTGAGGGAATCGATGATTTCTCCAGCTACTCAGGCTACAGGCTTTTCCCTGACCCACTGTATCGTGAACAGTGGTATATGGTAAGTTTCTATCATCAACAATAACATTTTAAAATACTGTTTTCTGAATTAAACAAATGTTGTTTTGTGTGTTTTAGAATGGAGGAGCTAGAGATGGCTTTGATATGAATGTAGAAGCAGTCTGGAAAAGAGGGTACACTGGGAAGGGAGTAGTTGTTTCTATTTTGGATGATGGCATCCAGCCCAACCACCCGGATCTTGCTTTCAATTATGTAAGTTTTACTCCTTTCATTTCTATACTCTTACAAAATATTTCAATTAAAATAACATTAATCTATGGTTTTTTGTGTGCAGGACCGTGATGCTAGCACGGACATCAATGACAATGATGATGATCCGACACCAAGGGATAATGGTGATAACAAACACGGAACAAGATGTGCAGGAGAAGTAGCAGCTGTTGCATTCAATAATTATTGTGGTGTTGGGGTTGCTTATAATGCAAGCATTGGTGGTAAGTTAAAATAAGTGGAAGAACACTTCTGTAAAACTGTTACCTTTCTGGTCCTAATTAAATTTTGTGTGTTTCTAGGTGTTCGTATGTTGGATGGAACCGTGAATGATGCAGTAGAGGCCAGGGCCTTGGGTCTCAATCCAGACCACATAGACATTTACTCTGCCTCTTGGGGTCCAGAAGATGATGGTAAAACTGTGGATGGACCTGGTCCTCTGGCTCGCAGAGCATTCATCTATGGAGTCACCAGTGTATGTGTTTTATACCATTTATCTTTGATATTATTTTTCTATCTTCTTGTAACTTGAACTAGTGTAAAATTCTCCTTATGATTTTAGGGCCGTAAAGGAAAGGGCTCGATCTTTGTTTGGGCTTCTGGCAATGGTGGCAGACATACAGACTCATGCAACTGTGATGGCTACACTAATTCTATTTTCACATTGTCCATTTCAAGTGCAACACAAGGAGGGTAAGATATTGTCTTGTCAGCATCAACAAACCTGAGAAATGATGAGATGTACTAACTTCCTGTAATATTTTTTTTGTTTATTCACAGGTTTAAACCATGGTACTTAGAGGAATGTTCATCCACTCTTGCAACAACTTACAGCTCTGGTACCCCAGGACATGACAAGAGTGTAGCCACTGTAGATATGGATGGCAAACTAAGGCCTGACCATATTTGCACTGTTGAGCACACAGGTTAGTATTGACTGTGTTCCCATCCTAAGAAACCAACTGCAGCTATCATGTTTTCTATAAATTCTAATTTTTAATTTAATTTTTTTTTTAATTTATTTTTACTAGGAACATCTGCATCTGCTCCATTAGCAGCAGGAATTTGTGCCCTCGCCCTGGAGGCAAATCCTCATCTCACATGGCGTGATATGCAATACCTAGTCGTTCTTTCATCCAGGTCAGGTCCTCTGGACAGAGAAAGGGGCTGGATTGTCAATGGAGTTAAGAGGAAAGGTACTTATTCTCCATTTTGGAACCTGCCTGAAGGAATTTATACACTTTTGCTTCTTGGCCCCATAACACAAAACTCGTTTTATTTTTTTTCTGTATCAGTCTCTCACAAGTTTGGATATGGTCTGATGGATGCCAATGCCATGGTCACACTTGCTGAGAAGTGGACACCAGTGCCTCCTCAACACATCTGTAAGAGTCAGGAAATAGCTGAGGATCGGTAAGTGTCATCCTAAATTCTCTTATACTTCCAAATTATTATTTTTTTCCTTATTGTTTTTATGTTGTTGTTTTTATTATTAGGGTGATTGAGGCAACATTTGGACAAACTCTTCAAGTGCACATGGACGTCACTGGGTGTGCTGGAAGTCTTAATGAGGTAAAACTTGAATTACCCACTTATATTTACTGGGTTGGAAGCATTATCCTAATTGATTTCCTCTGTTCACATCTTAGGTACGGTTCCTAGAACATGTTCAGTGTAAGGTATCTCTTCGCTTCTTCCCTCGGGGTAACCTGAGACTTTTGCTGACCTCTCCCATGGGAACTACTTCCACTCTGTTGTTTGAACGTCCACGTGATGTGGTGAGCTCCAACTTTGACGATTGGCCATTCCTAAGTGTTCATTTCTGGGGTGAGAGAGCTGAAGGGCGGTGGACTCTGCAAGTTGTCAATGCTGGCAATCGACATGTCAATCAGCCAGGTAATACTAAGAAGTGATTTTGCCTTAAAAGAATTATGCTCTGAGGCTTTATTTAATTTTTGTATTATTGTTCCAGGTGTATTGAAAAAATGGCAGCTAATCTTCTACGGAACTGTAACAAATCCTATAAATTTGAGGAACAGTGGTTCTTCAAGCGGTGGCATCAGCTCCTCTGCCTACCCGGGCTTTGCATCCCAGTCATCTCTGCCTCCTTCCTCTGGAAGCTTTGCTTTCCCTGGATCTGCCCCTAGTCCATCAGCTGTGCCTTACAATGTGTTCCATGACTACACCAGTGCCTCATTGCCGTACAGTGGCCAGGGCAGTGAAATCGACACTGCTGTGTCTGACCCCAATGGCAGTGACGTTGAGTCTGATAATCTTGTTGGGGCTGGAGAGGACTCATCGAAACGTGTCTTCCATGACTGTGACGAGCAGTGTGACTCTCAAGGGTGCTATGGCAAGGAGCCGCACCAATGCATTTCCTGCAAGAATTATCGGCTTGACAATACCTGCGTTTCTCGTTGTCCACCTCGCAGCTTCCCTAACAGTGGGGGCCGTTGCTGGCCTTGCCATGAAACCTGTGAGACCTGTGCAGGACCTGGCCAGGACAGCTGTTTGACATGTGCACCTGCTCATTTGCATGTCACAGATCTGGCTGTGTGCCTCCAACAGTGCCCTGAAGGCTACTATGAAAGTAAGCACTATTTTTTCCCCATTCACCTTTTTAAATTAGTCTTGTTTTGGGGAATTTTGAATTAATGATGTGGTTTTTTTTTCTTTGCAGACTTTGACAAACGTACTTGTGTACCTTGTGAGGCAAACTGTGCAAGCTGCCAGGACAGACCCGACTTCTGCACTAGCTGTGACCATCACCTTGTGATGCACAACCACACTTGCCTGGCCTCCTGCCCTGACCATACTTATGAAACTGATGATTACAAGTAAGTGATAAGTTAAATAGAGATAATTTGTCTGATCATATGCTATTTATTTATCAATTTCTCTTCTCCTTTTCCTCAGTTGCGCTCCCTGCCATTCGTCTTGTGATTCTTGCTCTGGGCCTGGAGAGGACCAATGTATTACCTGCCGAGCTGGCCACTATGCATTAGCTGGATCAAAATGCCCTGAAACCTGCCCAGAAGGATGGTATGCTGATAAAAAAAGGCGAGAATGTCTACCCTGTCAACCTGGGTGCGCACTATGCACTAGTGGCCTTTGCAATTCATGCTCTGCCGGCTGGAAGTTGAACAAGAAAGATCGATGTGTGCCAGAGAACAGCAATCGATGCAGTGCAAGTGAGTGTAGTAATTTATACCAACCTTAAATGTTATTTGCTTTACTTACTTTACAACGTATTCAATTCTTTCCAGCTGAATTCTTTGAGGCATCTATTGCAAAGTGTCAACCCTGCCATAACACGTGTGAGGGCTGTGGAGGTTCAGGACCTGAGTCTTGCCTAAGTTGTTTATCTCCATTTGTGCTTTCTGGAGGCCGCTGTCTTGGCGATTGCCCTAAAGGCAGTTACTTAGAACAAGGCCGTTGTGTGCCTTGCTTACACACTTGCACTGCTTGCGAGTCTCGCCTCAACTGTACATCTTGTGTACCTGGTCTGGACCTTCAAAATGGAGAATGTCGCTCAACCTGTGCCGATGGGTGCGTGTTTTCAATATAATATTGAAAAATGCTTTATCTAGAAAATGTGCTTCATTGTGGCGGTCTCTTACAGTTACTACAGTGACAGAGGAAAGTGCAGCAAGTGCTACCTCAGCTGCGCAACCTGTTTGGGCCCGCGACGTGATCAGTGTGTAACATGTCCTCGCGGCTGGCAACTTGCTGCTGGGGAATGCCATCCTGAGTGCCCAGAGGGTTTCTTTAAGTCCGACTTTGGTTGCCAGAAATGTCATCACTACTGCCGGACATGCAAAGGTTTTTTTTTTATTTTTATTTTTTACGTATTGATATTTCTTTGTTGAATCCCTGTATCTTTTTTAATATAACTAAAATTTTTAAAACAATTTTTGTAGGAGAAGGACCTTTGGAGTGCACTTCATGTCCACCACGTTATACCTTGGAAGGTGGACTTTGCATGGAGTGTCTAAGTGGCCAGTACTATGATGCTGCCACTCAATTGTGCCGCCCATGCACAGACCCTTGTCGCTCTTGTTCTGGACCTGGATTCTCATCATGCACTGGATGCCACGACCCATTGCAGTTAGACCAAAGAACCAACCAATGTGTTACTTGTTGCTCAGCACCTGGTGAAGCTAATTGTTGTGCGTGTGACCCCCAGACTGGTAAGTCCCTTTGCCATTGATACTCAAAGACTGTAAAAGCAAACTGGGGTTTCAATATGTCATTCCAAATTTTATTCAAATTTTAAACTGAAAACGGGATACTTGTTCAGTTAGTTTTGCACGACCGGGTAACTCATTGAATGTTGGAGCTTACTTCTTATGTCACCTTTTACCCATCTTTTCTCTCTCTGTATTCTTTTTTGTTGGCTAATTTCATTTCTTTAGCTGGGGCTTCTCTGAAAAAAAAAAAAACATTCTACATGTTTATATTTAAATGTACCTTATTACCCCTTGTCCTGCCTTGATGAACCCTTCATTGAATTTGTCCATTTTATGGTGGCTTCTCACAGGGAAATGCATGTCTGGTTCTGCTGGCAAACGGCGTATTGCTGAGGAACAGGTCTACCCTGCCGATGCACAAGGCACTGTGGGTTTCTCCGGTCCTTTTGCTGTCATTGCAGTGTGTTCTGGCCTTGTAATGGCTCTGGGAGTCACACTTCTGTTTGTACAGGTAAGGAAGCTTTCATTTGTATGGTTTAATTTTTATGTTTGAAGGGGTGTCTTTTTGCCATTTTGAGTGATCTATCAAAATATCCGGTAAGAAAGATAATGCCATTAAAAATTTCTGCTGTTTCTAATTTTTTTGTTCTATTTTGTGTCTAGGCCTGTGTAAGGAAGAATCGACGTTCGAGGGAATTTTACGGGCAATTAGCCACATGTGAGGTGGAGAGGCATTCAAACATCGGCCTGCCAAAGGCCAAGGGGGGCAGTAGCAGAGTTGAAGCAGACTTTGGAGAGGGAGAAACTCTCCTTCAGAACGAGTATTGTGATTACGAAGATGGCCCTGATAGTGAGGAAGAAGATCTTAGCATCTCAGGCAAAGTTTCAACTGTACGCACATAGTTTGAGAGTTAACTCTTTGTTTTTTTTTAGTTTGATATTGTGATTGTAAATACTGAGATATGAGAAAACAAATTTGTTGTGTAAAAGTGGAAATTCCAAAGTTTTGCCTTGTTACCATCCAATGGCACATTTATTAAGGAAGAAGATAGCTGACCTCCCTTTTGTGAATAATGTAATTTAATCAGTCTTTGATATTGATAAGATATCCCTGGGATCTTGACCAGAAGCAATTGAATTGTATTGATCTTTCCTAGGATCGCAGGGTAATACAAACATTTTATGTTCTGTTTGAGTTTGTTATCTAAGTCTTACCTCTACCTTTTTATAGTGAGCTAGATTTCCACTCACAATGCAATCTGCCTCTCTGGTCAAGTGAGTCAATACTTCCAGGCTTATAAGAATGAAATGAAGGGACTGATAATGGACTCAGAATGAATATCCAACATTAAGCGTGTTATTTATTCCATCTGTGAAGCTTATCGTTAATACCTATGTGCTGTCTGGCAGTTTGTTAGCAGGACTTGAATTTTGTTGTCCTCTTGTCTGAGAAGAGTAGTATGTTTCACTATGAGCACATGCAAATTCTCTGTGATATTAATTTAAAAAATAAAAAAAAGATATCATATGCCACTCTAGATCTGTAAAGAATAATTAAGTGATTGGATTTTGTATAGGTTCTGTTCTTGTTTTATGCAAGGCAGTCATCCAGTCACTCCAGTCTTGTGGCATGGCCTAGAAATTCTGAAATTGTGAGGAAAACTCAATGCAAAGGGCTAATACTTGTTTGTGCCAATCTAAAAGTAGTCTGATAAGTTGATAGAAATAATTTTATTTTAAGGTATGTTGTTTGTTTCATTTGCTCTCATTTTGCCTTGTACGTAACCAAGATTTTGTTACTTTCATGAGTGATACAAAAGCTACCTTTTTCAGGATTATCGTCTTTGTAAAATTCAGCTTCCTTCTCCCACTGTACTTAATAACAGAGTCCACAATAATTGAAGCTCCCATTATGAACGGCAATAAACCTTGTCGAGGTGCTTTCTCAAAGACCTGCAGGGAAAACCTCGAGACACACTCGATACTTTTGTAGAAGTTTTCTTATTGAAGCTTATCTCCATGGAGTACAAACCTCATAAACCTTTTTATTTTTAACTTTTATCTTGTAGCATTTTATGTAAGTTAAGGGTCCCTGAAACCACATCATGTAAGAACCTATTAATAGTGGTTTGCTTGTCTTCACATTATGTGAAGTGAAAGTCAGGAGACTTCCTGGGTGTGACTGTCTCTAGAAGCATATCAGATCTTATAAACAAATAACTAGTTGCTGATGTTCAAAGACTTGGCTTTGTAATTCCCAACTTGTACAATCATTTTACAATGCTGTAGGCATTTTTTTTCTTCACCTACTTTATTAGAAAATATTTTTTTTCTTAGCTTGTTTTTATCAGACATGTTATCGGTCAATCTTGTTATAGCCTTGCTGTGCTAATACCATGTTTTTAAGAATGTTTAATCATTTTTTTCCCTCTTTCATTTATTTTGTATTTGTGGTAATTGTAGGGCCTGTTTCATAAGAGGTCCGGAATTGTTTTAGTGGTAATGATTTCTCAGACCTGTGATAATGATCATGATCTTCCGTAACTGTTGTATCGGGAAGAATATATCTTTTGCATTTGCTATTGTGATACTCTACACAATGCCTCACAACCTTTTATCGCTTTGTTTACGGCACACTGTTAGACAATTTTCGGCTTCATAATGTTCTTTGGCATGCCTAGAATTTCTCAGTATACAAAATCAACTGCCTGAAATCTTTCGATTTGCAATATTCATGTCTGGGTCTTTTCGTGTCAAGTGTTTCTATTGTTGTATGACTCAAAAAGATTTTTAATAAATAGTATTTAGAGTACTGCACTCTACTAAATGTGACAGCCAAATAAGAGAACTGACAGGCAAAATTGTTGGGTTCAACAACACAGTGTAAGAAAAAGAAACGCCCACTATATCAAAGTTGGTGTACTTTGTATCTAATGTTTTCAAATTTATCAAATAAAAATATTTGAGACACCTTCTGTTGTCACCAAAAACTGTTTGCTCCCTTTAATATTTGGATTCAGGCCGAAAGATTGTTCCGAATCAAAAGTTAAGATATAAAAATGTGCTCTCAAAAGTAAAATTTATTGCATAATTTGGGTTGAAACAAACTTGTTGATAAATTGTACTGTGGACGTAAAAGATAGGTGCTGTTTAGATCATTATATTATTTTTCATATTATTTTAGTCTAGATTTTTAGTTGTGTGAATGCTGTGAATTTTGTATTAAATAATAAAATACTGATCTATGGACGATACGTCTTATGCCAGTGCAACAAAGTAACTGACAGTTTAATAATAAACTGTGGTGCTATCTACCTACCTAAAAGTAAAGGATCAACTTATTGCTTTCATATTTTGGAAGGTTGTCTTGAATAAAGATCGATAAATTTTGTTAAAAGTGTGATATGATTCTCCTCAGCCCCATCTCCACACAAAAATAGTGAGGGAAGGAAGGTTTTTTTTTCAAGTCCAACAAATAAGATTTGAAAATTATTTGAATGAACGCATTGAACACTGCTACAGCAGCACTTGTGAGCAGCGCAGCATTGACACAAGAGATCAGCTGATTGACACCTTACCGAACTGAACTCACAAGCGACTTTCGACCAGGTCAGAGTAAAATTGAGATTGGAAGGATCTTTCTTGGCGGGAGAGCAGGAACAGGCCTTTTTTTCTGGCCATCGCAATCCTTCGGAATCAGAAGGCAAGATCTTGGTGCAGAAAACCGCGACACATTCTATTCCGATTCCAAGAAGCAAAATGAGGAAAAGGCGCGAACACGAAAAGCGGAAAGGAGAAAAAAGGGGGGGGGGAGGCGGAAGGAGTTCGGAGCGTGGGAAGTTTTGGCGACGAGCGTCAACAGAAGCAAGCCAAGCACGGCACGGCGGGACCCTGTGTGTTGTGTTGTGTTGTGGTCCAGGGGCTGCGCACGGGTCGAACCCTTGCCAATGGGTTAAGGATGGGAATCCAAGGATTTGAAACTTATCTGTTAAATAGCCACAAGCCAGCATGTCCCAGAGTGTTGATTAAGGATCTCGTATCCGAGTACAGGTATGAACGCAGAGAAATGGGGGAACGGGTGACGACGCCGGCTGACGCTGCCGTGCCGTTCGGATGCTGCGAGAAACAGTGACAGCGTTTGTTGCTGTTGAGCGTGCCAGTCTAGCGAATCGCCTTGATTGCAAGTGCAGTATTGTGTTGATGACTTACTGATGCAAAGATGACACTCATTTTACTTGCCACCTGCACCCATCCCCCACCCCCACCCGTCCTCTTTTCCCACGCGGCGGCCGCTTCGGCGCTCTCCGCCCCGCCAGCCCCGCCCGGCCGCTCCCGCCGCCCTTTCCCCGGCATGCTTCCGAAACGCCTTTTCATTTGACTCCCCATTCGGCTCCAGGGTGGACACCGGGGCAGAGGCGGCAGTCGCCATCCTGGACACGAATATTCTGATCCGGCAATGTCTGGACGACTTGGATGTAGTGGCCGGCGGCCAGTTCCGCGAGTACAAGGCAAACCTGCTCCGCTACGTGAAGCGCCTGACTGGTGAGTGTCGACTTTCGTCACTCTGTCTCACTCGCACTCATAAGGGACGCCCCACGAGTGCGAGAGAGACAGAGCGACAAACGGAATGAGTCTACTGGTCGAATGTCGCGGTGCGCGCCGCGCGCTTGGTTTGCGCGCCATCCGAGCCGAACGCTGCTTCCTCTCTCTGTCAGACCTGGGCGTGTCGCCCGTGTTCTTCCTCGACGGGCACGTGGAGGAGGGCAAGATGCGGTGCTGGCGGGACCGCAAGGGCGAGATGTACAACCGCATTCGGGCGATCTACGAGCGCGTGGAGGAGGGCGGCAACTGCAGTCCGGTGGAGAACGCCAGCGCGGTGCTGCCCGCCGGCCTCTACGAGTGCACCATCCTCACCCTCAAGGAGGCGGGATTCCCCGTGAGTGTCGTCGTCGGGCAATTAGCAGCACTTCGGCGTAAATTTTTCCTACTTCTGCCGAACATATCAGTCACTCTTTTCAAAAATAAATGAGGCCCACTAAAGGCGCGCTGATCCGAGCTGATCTTGGATTGCAGGTGTTCTGCGCCATCGCGGAGTGCGACCTCGAGATGGCGCGCTACGCCAGGGAGAAGCGGTGCTTCGCCATCCTGTCCAGGGACACGGACTTCGTGATCCTGCAGGGCGCGAGGTACTACCTGTCGCTGTTCTACAAGCACTTCGACCGGCGGTCCATGTCGACGATCCTCTTCGACCGCGCCGCCATCGCCAAGGCCGTGGGGCTGCACCCCGAGCACCTGCCCTTGCTGGCGTCGCTCATCCAGAACGACTACGTGGACTGCAGCTACCTCACTGTGAGTGGCCCTGCGCCCTGCCGAAAGTCGTTTTCGTCGCTCTGTCTCTCTCGCCCCCGTGGGACGCCCCGTGAGTGCGAGAGTGACAGAGCGACGAAAACGACTCTCGGAATCAGTGTGCCGGCCAAGCTCTTACCGCGCGTTGCGCGTTCCTCCAACCCAACCCCGTCTCCTCGGTCCCCCCGCAGCCCCTGTACAGCAAGATGCTGGGCCGGCCCACCGAGGAGCTGCAGCCCGAGCAACGCTACCGCCTGGAGGACCTGGTGCCCAGGCTGGTGTGGTTCATCCGCAAGGAGCTGTGGAAGGAGGGCGACCCCGTGGAGACCATCCTGTCCAGGACCTTCAACGGCTACCCGCCGTTCCTGCTGCGGCGCCTGGCGCAGAAGATGGGGCTCCGCGACCAGCTCGAGCTGCGGGAGAAGCTCCGGCAGCAGCTGGAGGTGAGCCTCAGCATGCACGAGTACGTGCCGCCCAACGACCAGCCCGCCCGCACCTCGCCCGAGCCGCAGCCGGAGCTGGACGTGGACCTGGAAGGTGAGCACGCCGTGGCCGTGGCCACCCCGATGCAGGCGCCCAGCGGACTGATTCCGAGAGTCGTCGCGCTGTCTCTCTCGCACTCACGGGGCGTCCCGTATAGGTGCGAGAGAGACAGAGCGACGACTCTCGTCGGCTAACCCCTGCCCCTCCCCGTTGCAGTGCTGGACGAGGCCAAGTCCCGGCACCGCTCCACCACCTTCCTGCACTCGGCCGTGCTGTCGCTGCTGACGGCGCGCATCCTGCAGATGGGGCCCGCGCTGGAGGACCCCCGCCTGCCCGCCAGCTGCTCGTGCGAGGCGGCCCTGCGGCCCTTCCGGCGCCGCGTCTACGGGCTGCTGCAGGTGCCGGGGCCCTTCAAGGAGTGGGTGGTGCCGGCCAAGCCGCCGCGCGAGGGCCAGCCCCTGGAGCCCTGCATGGTGGAGCCCATCTCCCCAGGTCGGTGCACTGTTAGGGCCGGCCGGCGGCGGTGACCCTGGTTGAGGAAGTAAGTCTGTTTCGATAACTGTGAGCATTTTTCGTCGGCGTAGACCCGTCCGTGGTGCCGCACCCGGGGCTGCTGGCGCTGTGGCGCTGCCAGGACGACGACGACGTGGCCGCCGACCGGTGGCGCCTGTGGGCGTGGGCCCTGGCCGCCCACCGCCCCGAGTCCGCCCCCGTGGACGTGCTGGTGGAGGAGCTGCGCGGCCTGCCCGAGGACCTCGTGTTCCCCGTCAGCATCCTGTACCTCCTGTTCCACTCGGGGGCCCTGGGCGGCTGCGCGCGCCCCGCCGTGGAGCTGGTGCGGTTGCTGGCCAGGGCGTGCCTCGCCGCGCCGCTCCTGGACGAGGAGAAGCTGGACGCGCTGCGCGTGGACCGCTACGACCGCCTGGAGGTGCACGTCGCCGCCCTCTTCATGAGGGCCTCCACGTACGTGTCCCTGCTCAACGACGTGCTCGGGGCACCCGTCCCCATCGCCAAGCTGCACCCCGAGCTGTTTTTCAACGGGAAGGTGTTCCACTACGTCTTCACTGAGCAAACCCTCGACCAGGTAAGCCGTCTGTAGTCCTTTCCGCCACAACCACTCCAACCAATTTGGTCTGCTCATTTCGATGTTTCCCCCTTTACAGCTCGCAGCTCTTGATGGAACGATGGAAGAGGACATAGTGAGGACTGCATGCAAAGAGAAGGAGGAGCTGCACTTGGAAGAGTAATCGCTCTGTACTCGCCCATGTACTGGGACCACCCAACTGTGATTCTTTTTTATTACTCTTTATGACTATTAATTTAATTTAGTAACAGTTGTGATATTAGTAATTACACAATTGTGATATTTTTTAATTATGTGATGACTTTGTTGCTTGTAGTCTAGTTTTGATGTGCTTATACAGGCCATCTTGTAATTTGCTCAATCCAATGTTTTGAGAAATTTATGTTAACCAGCAAGATACTAGTCTGCTATTTTAAAGTCAACTTATTGTCCAATCAGTTTTTTTTTTGTAAGAGCTTTTGTTTTTGTGAGGCCGATCGGTGCTTTTGGAACCATATTTATGTTTCTTCACTGATAATTAATTTGAGCTGTGACTTGACTCTTAATTACTAGAGTCAACTGTCAAAGCACACCACGTGAAAGACTTATGGTTTCGGTGACTGATTTGTTGTCGCCAAATGTTTGTTGTCAAATGCAAGGGACCATTTTTGTACCCTCAATTAATTTTGCACTATGTCTTTTTGAGGCCTCTTTTTACACTTAGAATAGTGCTTTCAGGATACTTTTTATTAACCTGTGTGGTTCCTAATGTGACGTGACTTTACTGACAGTCACACGTGAGCCAAATGTTGAAGTATTCAGCATGACAGACTGTCGGCAGTGATAAATTGTTTTGTTTTTTTATCCGATTACATAAAATGTTGAAATAAATGAATCGAGAAACAGAGGCTTTGTTGTGAATTGAAAACCGAGGCCCTCGGGAGGAAAACACACGGCAGTCTTATCGTGCAGTGCAGCGCGTTGCATTGGCCTGCTGCCCACGGCACGGCACGCCGCACGCCGCGGCAGGCTGCAGGAAATTGATAGAACTGAGTCGGGAATGGAATGTGCAGGCAGGCACCGACGTGGCCTCAGGGCAGCGGAGCGCCTGCGAGTCCCGGGTAGGCCAGCCCGCCGAACTCGCGCGTCGTCGGGGTGCTTGAGGCCTACCTCGCAGGCGGCGTACCTTGACACCGCCGAGTCGCCGTGGTTCAAAACGGACTGGGTCTGGGTCGGCAGGCGATATTAAAAATTGAGATGGTTCTTATTCGCCGCTGGGATCGTTGAGCTGGTCGTGCAGTCATGCCCGTGTGGCCGTCTGGGCTGTCCGGGCAGAGCGAGGGAGAGGGGGGATTTGCGAGCCGAGAACAATGTGCGCGTCCCTTACGTGTCTCAACCTACTTGAGCAAAAGCGACTGACGCAACCCTGGCGGTCCGCGGTCCGAATGTGGGGATGACACCGAAACGCCAAGAACAGACCGAAGGCTTAAAAAGTGTGCCGCGGCGCCGGACGGGACAGTTGGAGTGCTACCTCGACAAGCAGTGCTCGTGCTTCTACCGTAGGCTTCCCCGCCAGCACCATGCTCGCGTTGACGTTGACCCTCGCGCTCCTGGCGTCGTCCGCCAGCCCCGCCAGCGCGCGCTTCATGCCCCTGCACCGGTTCACCTCCCTGGAGGGCATGGCCGTGGACTCGGACCTCGACGCCGCCGCCCGGCCGGCCCGCCACGCCCTGGACTTTGCCGCGTTCGACCGGCCGCTGAGCGCCGAGCCCGACCCGCACCACCGCGTCGCCAGGGACGCCGCCGAGGCCTGCGACTGCGCCAACGACGCCGACCTGGTGGGCGAGATCGTCGAGTCGGCGCCCGTCATGGAGGACACCCTGGACGCCCCCGTCTACCAGCAGCCCCTCAAGTCCGCCCAGTTCGTCGAGTCCCCCGAGGAGCTCCACGGCAGCGCGCTGTCCGCCGACGACGCCGAGTTCGACGACGACCAGGAGGCCACGCTCTGCGAGGGCGGCCTGGAGCCCCTGCTCGAGGCCTCCGACGAGCCCGGCGCGGGGAGGCCTGCCCGGCAGACGGGCCTCGAGGCGGACAAGGACAAGGACAAGGTGGAGGCTGCCGAAGAACAAACCCCCAAGGAAGGCGCGGACAAGGTGGAGGCTGCCGACGGACAACCGCCCAAGGAAGGCGAGTCGCAGGCGGAGCTCTTCCCTATCCCAGAGGTCGTCCCCGCGGCCCAGGGCACACGCGCAGTAGCGGACACCCCCGTGGACGCCACCGCCGACGCCACCGCCGACGCCACCGCCGACGCCTCCGAAGCCCAGCAGCAGGAGCCCGAGGAGGCCGAGCCGGTAGAGGTGGAAGCCTCCGCGTAAGCAGCAGCCCTCTCATTGGTGAGTGACACTTTTCTTGTTATGCTCGCCTTTGTTTGCCAAAGAAGTTACTTTGGTTTGTCTTTGTGCTGGCTCCTCGGGGGTGCGTGGTTTTCTCCTGTGCTCCGTGAGGCGTCTGTGGGGGACTGACCCTCGAGGTCTGATAAGACAATAGATATCAAACCAGCGTGGGGTCGAAGGCCATTTCTGCCCCCACGGATAGCTACAAAAATAGAGACAATGTATGTCTCCCAATTTGTCTCTACGACACATTCAGAACATCTTTTCCCTGCCATATTTTTCTCTCTCACTGCCGCTTTGATGCACCGACAGAGGTGTCGAATTTCGAAAGTGGCTACTTGGCACGCAAGAAGACAGGCGCGCAGTTGGCCGGCGGTCAGCAGTTTCAACGGCTCCTACTTGTTCTTGTTCCAGGGCACTGACTCGCTAGCTGCCACGCCACGCCCTGCCCGACCAGCCCAGCCCAGCGCAGCGCAGCGCACCCCGTCGGCCGTCGACGGCGGGCTTCGTGGAGCGTCGTCAGCAGCCGCCATCGGTGGCCTGACGGCCTGTCGGCTGACCTGGCCGTGCTGGCGGCCTTCTTCGAGTGGCCGGGCACCGACCGCGCGACGCAGCTGGAAGTGGGGACGTTTAAAGACGATGGGGAGGGGGAATCGGAGGAGGCCCTGGACAACTGTTTCTTGACTGATTAATTAGGTATATTCGCTCTCGCTCTAGGTGTAAGTTATTTATTAAAACTTAGTGGTAAATAAAAAAATTAATTTAAAAAAATCTTTTTTGTGCACACGCTTTGACGCACCACCAGTCCACACGATGAACCAGGACTTACACTATAAAAAGACACTCCCCCAAACAAAAACAATTAAAATCTTTTACTGTGTGCTGGCGTGCTGGCACACGAGAAAAGCCTTGGACTTCCGCCGGGCGAATTTTCGATGAGATCGCAGGTAAATTACCTGGCATTGCCACACTCGGTCGGCTCAGCAGAGGGCCGGACTGTCGGACTGCCGTTTCCTGGGCGAGAAGGGCTGACTCAGAGAGGAGAGGGCCTGGCTGGGCCTGGCTGGCTGGGCCTGCTTGGGCCTGGCCGGCGATTCGGCCTCTCGATGAATGGAGGAAGCCAGCGGACCTGCGCAAGGGGCGTGCCTGGCAGGCGCACAGTGGGCCAAAAGACCGGTGGAGGCGGCCAAAATTCTAGACGCGTTTTGAGCTCCAGCATCGCTAAATGGGACTCGAACCGAACATGTGACCCCACCAAAGGATCGCTCTCCGAACGAGGAATCCATTGGTGGGGTCACACGTTGAGTTCGAGTCCTGCTTAGCGACTCAGGAGCTCAAAACGCGTCTAGAGTTTTGGCCGCCTCCTCGGGGGTTGCTGTGCTGCATGGAGCCGCCTGGAGCGGAGCGGGCTTTCCGCCGAGAGAGCGCCATGCTCTTGCCATGCCTGGCAGGTGCAAAAAATTACTATTTTTTGCCGTACCCCATTGGGCTGCGCCACTGCTAAGGCGTTCATCGGGGCCTCGCCTGGTTGTCGATCACGAGTCGCATTGGCGCTATCAGCGAATTCTACGGCGGGCGGCACACCGATTCAGAAGGGTCGTTTCGTCGCTGCGTCTCTGTCGCACTCCTGGGCCAGGGACAGGGCGAGGGCGGGATGGGGTGGGGTGCGACGAGGGGGACGGGCGGCGCTTCGCGCGCTTCGGACTGCGAGCCGCGCGGCGCGGTTTCCCGCAAGAACAGCTTTTTCCCTTTTCCATCGGAGGGGCTCCACATGCATCGCGATGCATCGGCATGAACGCCGTGCAGCCGTCGTGCATCGACCGAGCGGAAACCGCTGTGCTGCATGAGCTGGTGCGGGCTCAGCTGGAAGGGCGTTGGCGTCGCGGCCATCAGCACCAGCACCCCGGTGGCGGGGCGGGGCGGGGTGCGGCGGGGCGGGGCGCGGCAGGGCGCACCCGAGGCGAGGAAGGACGGCGAGGCCGAGCACCCCGTCAGTCGCAGCCACCATGTCGCGGACGCGGGTTCACTCCTCCATCATGGCCTCCACCGCCGTCGCCGTCCTGGCCCTGCTCGCGGCCTCGGCCGTGCTGGCCGCACCCGCCGCCCAAGACACGGAGGGCGCGGCGGGCGCGGCGGTCGCGGCCACGGGCGACAAGGCGTCGCAGGCCCTGCTCTATGAGGCCGCCGACTCGGACACCGCCAGCAACAAGAAGGACCGCAAGAAGAAGCAGACCACCACCATCTGCGTGCAGGTAAGAGTGAAAGTGCAACCCCCTTGTACCGATGAGTCGGCTAGGAACTTTTAGATGGGGGACCTCGTTACAAGCACGTCATGCATGAGCCTCGTCACTCGTGCGATAAAAATTTCAGTTCTGCGTGGTTTGTGGTCAGTCTCTGTCCCACTCACTAGACTCTCGGTCTCTCTCGGCCTGCAGGTGTCGCCCGGCCGGCCCGGCCACAGCCCCGCCGTGCTGTGCGGCGACAAGGACGACGTGGACGAGCAGAAGCGGCGCCTCGAGCTGCAGCGCCTGATGCAGGCCCCCGTGGTGCAGGTGCAGCCGCAGGCGGGCTACTTCGGCTCGCCGCACGTCGTCAACATCGTCCCCTCCGGCTCCCCCGGCCTCTCCGACTCGGTGACCATCGAGGCGCCCGGGCAGAGCCGCACCGACTCCGTGGTGGTGGGAGCCAACGCCCCCGCCTCGCTGGGCACCTTCACCTTCACCAGCTCGCCGTTCTTCCGCGCCGCCGACGCCGGCCAGCAGCCCCAGCCAGCCCAGCAAGCCCAGCCCCAGCAGCCCGCGAGCGTGCACGTCGAGTCCAAGCCCGCTGCCCCCGAGGGCCACTCCCTGAGCGGCGCGTTCGCAGCCACCGCGCCGCCCCTGCCCGCCGCCACCGCCGCCACCAACACCGACCACGCCAACAAGCCCCAGGCGCGCTCCTTCGGCGACGAGGAGATCATTGTGTCGCAGCAGTCCGGCCACGGCTTCGGCTACGGCTCCGGCGGCCCCCAGCAGGTCACCACCGTCGTCCGCGAGGACCCCTACCACGGCGGCGCGTCCCAGGTGAGTGTCCAGAACGATGTCTGTTCCGATTTCGGTGACTTGTCGTAACTTGGCGTTTCGCTCTCGTGCAGGTGGACATCATCAAGAGCGGACATCCCGGCGGCTTCATCGGCGCCGGCCCCATGGGCTTCCACCAGCAGGCCCCCATGATCGGCGGCATGGGCATGAACTTCCGCGCCGCCGAGGTGGCCAACGCCGCCGCCCAGCCCGCTGCCCCCCAACAGCAGCAGCAGCAACAGCAGCAGCAACTGCAGCAGCAACAGGCTAGCGGCCAGCCCCGCGCGGCCGTGCTGCTGCAGCAGCCCGTGGTGTTCCAGAAGGACGTGGTCATCCCCGCCGTCGGCACCTCCAAGCTGTCCGTCACCGGGCCTGCCGCCGAGGTGCGCATGCCCACCCTGTCCCAGCTCCTCAACCCTTTGAGCCCCCAGTCCGGCCTGGGCCACCTGACGCCCCTGGCCACCGCGCAGCCACTGCCCCAGCGCGTCGAAATCCGCCAGAACACCGGCCAGGCCAGCATCCCCATCACCCTCAACTGCGACCTCAGCACGCTGCAGTACAGGGGATCCCCGCAGCAGCAAGTTCAGGTAAGCCAGAAACAATTTTTTTTTTAATTTAAAAATTACGCAGTCGGTAGGACTCGAACCTACGCTCCCAGAGGGAAACTGATTTCTAGTCAGTCGCCTTAACCACTCGGCCACGACTGCGCTGGCGACTACAACGCGTGTGGTGTGGCACTTGACCAGACCACAACCGAAACGTGCTGACTACTGTATCGTGAAGTGTCCCCTCCTCTTGACTGCTCGATAAAAGACAAGCGGCGACCAGAACCTGTCCGCTCAGCGATTCCGCGCCAACCTCTCCGCGTGATACTATCGAACGTCGGCCTCGTCGGCAAAGGTCAAAGTGGCTTCATTTTTGTTGAAACTTTTCGGTGTTTGAACCCATGCCTTTTCCTCTGCCTGCAGCTGGACCTCGGCCGTCCCGGCATCGGCGGCGTCTACCTCACCAACGCCCGCGCCGCGGAGACAGACCTCAGCGACCCCCTGAAGCAGACCCTGGGTGCCGCCATGGACGCCGCGGTGCGCAACTCGACCGTGACCGTGCACCTCAACGGGAGCGCGATGCAGCCCAACGACCTGCCCAAGCTGCAGGAAGAGCTCCTGATGCTGCAGCAGCGCGAGAAGATGCTGTACGAGACGATCCAGTCCCTGAAGGCCGCCGGCTCCAGCCACCCGGATCACGCCGCCGCCATCGTGGGCCTGGAGCACGCCGCCGACCAGATCAGCAAGGCCCGCGCCGCAGTGGAGCAGGCCATCACGCAGCCCGGAGCCGCGCCCTCGGCAACACCAGCGGGAGGACCGCAAGGAGCACCGCAAGGAGCACCCAGGGCCGCCGACGCTTTCGGCGACGCGCAGTCCTTGTCGCCCGGAGGCCTCCAGGACCGCATGCGCAGCTCGGCGCAGTTCCGCTACATCTCCGACCCCGCCCTCGCCATGGGCCCCTCGTCCTCCGTCGCGGTCTCCATGTCCCCGTCCGTGCACAGCGCTGGCATCTACCCCACCCGCCAGGAGACCACCATCGTGAGCAGCAGCAACAACTTCGGCAACCCGCTGCGCGTCGGCGGTAGCATCGGCGGCGGCTTCGGGGGCGGCGGCTTCGGCGGCGGCTTCGGGGGCGGTTTCGGCAATCGCCCACACATTGGCGTGTACCGCGCGGCCGAGCCTCAGCCCGCGCAGCCCCAGGCAGCTCAACAACAGCCCCAGCCTGCTCAACAACAGCCTCAGCCAGCCCAGACACAGTTCCAGGCAGCCCAACAGCGAGACCAGCCCCTGATCCAGCCCGCCGTCCCCGGCAGCCAGGCGACGCAGCAGAAGCTGCTGCAGCAGCTGCGCGAGGCCCAGACGGACCTCATGAACATGCGGTCCGCCGCGCTGCCCCGCGACGAGCCCCGCCAGGCCGCCAACGCCAACTCCAACTTCGGCCCCACCGCCTCGCCCTTGACAGCCGGCGAGGACGAGTTCCCGCCCACGCCCGGCTACCAGTACGTCCCCAAGGCGGCCGACGCGGTGCCCTCCCAGGCGCCATCCCAGGCGCCCTCCCAGGCGTCCTTCTCCGCGAGGGCCGGGCCCCTCTCCTTCACCGCCAACGCCAACGGACCCGCGCTCCTGCCCGCTCCGCAGTCGCCGAAGAGCAACTCGCCTAGGCAGGCCAACAGGTACTGGCGGCGGTAGTGTCTGACCAGTGAAGTTTGTAGCCCATTTCAGGCTGGTACAAATTGTGTGTTTTAAAGAGTTCCCTGGTCAAGAATTAGTACAAGGCGAATGTGAAAATTGTGTTGTGAAATTATGTTTATTGTTTTGGAAAGTACAAAGTTTTTAATGTTCGTGTTGAGCTGCGGAAGCTGTGTTAAGTTTATTTGTTTTATAAATATGTTTCTATAATAAAATATCTATGAATACAAGCACTTCTCTTATTCATTTCCCATCCCTCTTTCGAATAGACCACCATCCTAACCGAGAAAGGCTGGATTCAAATTTTCATTTTCCGTAACACAAATCACAGAATACCACGAGTGAAATCTACTGAAGACGACTTCCGCCAAGAGCTTAGAGTTCGAACAATCACAACTTCTTGACAAAGTGACGACAAAAGAATCCTACACCGCTTACGAGCAGTTTTTAGCTCGCTCCGCGCTCCGGCCACCGAGCGCCGAGGAGGTAGGCAACCCATCCGGCACGCCGACTATGCGGACAGGCAGCATCGCAGGCGCTCCGCTCAAGGCTCGACTCGACGCCGAATAGAATGCACGACGAGAGAGAGGGTCGACATGGAACCGATCTGAGTCAAAATTGCAACCAATACGGCTCCCTGACGAAACCGGGTCACTAGGTCGGAAAATGGAATGTCCCTTCCAAAGGCCCGAAACCCTCGTCAGTCACAAACCCTCGTAAACGTGTACATCCGACAAAAAATTACGCAGTCGGTAGGACTCGAACCTACGCTCCCAGAGGGAAACTGATTTCTAGTCAGTCGCCTTAACCACTCGGCCACGACTGCGGCGATGCCAGCCATGTTGGTGGCACCGTTCTTATAGGGGGCGAAAGTGAAGCAGCCGAATCGGCTCTGCGGAAGGCCGGGTCCGGCCGCCGGCGCCCTGCTCGTCGCTCTTTCTCTCTCGCACCGCCACGGCACGCCCCAGAAGCGCGAGAGAGACAAGCGACAAGAATCTGCGCGGATGTCGACAAAGCGAATCTGCGGAACGTAGTGGCCGTGCCAAAGGCGCAAGGCCACGAGGTCAGAGCCGGTGCAAGCTATGCTCACTAGAAGTGGGAGGATCACTCTGAAACGAAGCTCCCGCTCACGCTATTCTCGTTGGGCGCTGCAGGGAAAAATAACACAGATTTAACAAAGTAAAACGAAAATCAGGCCGCAAACCTTGAAAATTTGAATTGAGCGCGCGGTTTGCCTGCCCTACTATTTGTTCCAACCGCAAGGTTGGAAAAGAGGCAGCGAGTGTCATTCAGTGTGTAAGTAGCGCACGCGTTTTGTGCGGTCAGCACCATTTGGATCGAGGCGACGGCGTCGTGTTTTGCGTGTCGCGGTGTCGCAACGCCGAGGCGGCCGAGGCGTTCACCCCGTCCAGCAACCCTCGGTCTGCACCGCCTGCACGGCGTTCCAGAACGCCTACATCGCCCGGACGGGGCGGACCGACACGCGGACACGCGCCACGCCACTGCAGTACTTTTAGTTTCCCCGTCGCGTCGCCATGGTGGACGCCAAGTCCGTGACGAAGGTGTCCAAGGGCGTGGAGCGCGGCCATATCCTGTGCTGCTGCGCCGTGGTGTTCGTGTGCTTCATGCTCACGTGCCTCAACCTCTACATGTTGTCCAGCACGCGCGCCGTGCTCCGCCACCTGGACTCGCGCCTCGACGCGCACCCTCGCTTCGGCGCGCTGCAGCGCCAGCAAGTGCAGCAGTCCCCGGAGGAGGCGGCCGCCGCCGCCGCGGCCCTGCTGCTGCAGCAGCAGCCGATGCAGCTCCAGCAGGCCGAGGGCGCCGACGACTTCATCCTGCTCGCGCCCAGCGACCTGGACAACGCCTGGACCACGCAGACGGGCCGCCTGCTGGTGCCCGTCGGCCAGCCCGAGGAGGACGACGACGGCTGGAAGCAGATGCAGGTCAGTCCGCTCAGTGGGCCAGAAGACCGGTGGAGGCGGCCAAAACGCGTCTAGAATTTCTGACCCACTGCAAATCGATTGCCACTCTAGTGCCGCTCCGTTTTGAATGCCGAAATTTTGCAAGGGTGGCAAGGAAACTTACCAATGGACTGGCAGTGTCGTGGAAGCCGAGGCCGATCAAGCTGAACCTCCGTGTCTGTGTGTTGACCGCGTTGACGGGCAGGTGCAGCTGGCGGAGCAGAGCAAAGCCCAGCAGCAGCACATCGAGAACCTCCACGACAAGCTCAACGACCAGTACCGCGCGCGCGAGGAGCTGCAGCGTGACCAGCAAGACCTGCTGCGCGAGCACCACGAGCTGGCCATGCAGCACCAGCGCCAGATGGCCAAGAAGGACCGCAAGCTGCTCAAGGAAAAGCACCGCGCGATGCACCAGGGCGCCAAGCACAAGGACCAGGTGGGTGTTGTGGTTCTCGACCGACAGTGTACCGCGGAACCTTCAAGCCATTTTGAAACTCGGTGTTGCAGCTGCGTCGCTACCAGTCCGAGATGGAGGACCTCAAGAAGGTGGTGGAGGAGGTGCAGTCCCTGGACCCCGCCCGCGCCGCCGAGCCCGCCCCGACCGCCGCGACGGCCGTGAAGGCGCCCGCCGACAGCATCTCCGTGGACGCCGTGGTCACCACACTGGAACAGAAGAACGGCGGCGAGCCGGTCGTCAACAAGACGGAGACCGTGATGCAGATGGCGGTGCCCGTCGAGGCCGAGACGGAGCCCAGCAGCTCCCTGGAGCACATCTTCAGCGCCGTGTTCGGCCCCAACCCGGGCACCTACTTCTTCCCCAGCTACACCGTGGGCGCCGACGAGGTGGAGAAGTCCTCCCGCGCCAAGCGCGACCTGGCCGACGTGGCCGCGGACATGAAGGACCGCCGCGAGCGCCGCCTGGCCAGGCTGGCGTCCAGGTCGTCCAGGTTCGGCAGCCGCCGCCGCCGCCACAACCAGGCGGACTCCGGGCCGCTGATGCGCATCGACGACGGCCAGCTCGTGCCGCTGGTGGAGACCCCCGTGGTGCGGGACGACGGGCAGGGGGCACGCCGTCGACGCCTCGCCAAGCACCGCGGGTAGGCGGCCCGACGACGCCACACAGTGAGCCAGAAGACCTGCGCCGGCGGCCAAAATTCTAGACGCGTTTTGAGCTCCAGAGTCGCTAAACAGGACTTGGACAGAACATGTGACCCCACCAATGGATTCCTCGTTCAGAGAGCAATCCATTGGTGAGGTCACACGTCCGGCTCGAGTCCCATAGACTCTGGAGCTCTAAAAGCGTCCGGAATTTTGGCCGCCTCCGCCGGTCCTCTGGTCCACTGTGCGCCACGAGGACGGATACGACCTCGGACACGACGGACTCACATCACGGACCACGACGAGTCGACTTAGTTTAGGACTAATCATCGGACGCACGCTTTGGTTTTATTTTTGTTTACCTCGCTGTTGACGATAACCTACTTAACCTGTGACCTGAGTGCTCTTGACACGAAGTGACAAGACTGCAGTGACCAAGACTGTTACGCAACTGGACCGTGACTTATCCCGACTGCACACATGAACCCAATCCGTGACGTCCTTGGCGGATGTGACATGAAAGTGACACTGTGACACGTTTGACGGCGGCGGCGAGGGCTCAGACGCGTGCCGGAGCCAACCCTGCCAGCGACTTTGACTGCATGTGCGACTTTCGACGGACTATCGCGAAGACTCGAGTGACAACGACGAGACATCTCGACTTCTCAGACTTCAGTTAGTATTGTTTTATTTTCGTTTTTTTCTGGTAATCTGATTTTTGGTATGTGATATTTATTTAAAAACTTGAAAATAAACAACTTTAAATCAGAAAATTGTTAGTATTGTGTTGGCCGAGAACTTGGAGACGAGGAGGATGAGAGGTACTGTGGGTCAACTGATGGACCGATGAACCAAACAGTCCACCCGTTCACCGAAAGGCACGGCGGACTTCGAACTTTGAAGAAGCCTTACCGGTTTTCGCGTCGCATGCCGTCGCATCCAGACATCCAGAGGAACAGTCAACGTCCGACGGAACGAGGAAGCCGCCGCGAAAGGAAACGCCAAGGTTCTTCTACACTGCGAGAAAAAAATTAAAGCAGATGATAAACTTTATAGGGGGATGATTGCATCACACATGGCCGATTGCATCACACTTCCCCCAGGGCCGGCTGGGCTGGCAGGCGTCGATGCCCCGGAGAGGGTGGGGCGCCAGTGACGTCAGGAAGACACGTCACTGTGTTAGTGACGTCAAGGGGAGGCGGGGCGGGGCGGGCGTGGGAATGGCGGTGAGTCACGCGCCTATTCACAGTCCGCGGCGTATGCTGGCCGCAGCGCGGCGAGCACTATTCGCAGTTTCACATCTCGTTCGACGAGAGCGTTCGAATGGGGCAAATATTGTTATTGTTTTCCGAGCCACAGTGATGCCACCTGTGCCGCCCAGCAAGACACACACGTCGCAGCCGCGAGCCGCGAGCCGCGCTGCTGGGCGCGCCGAATTTAAATTCGTCGCGAAGCCCGCGCCCGCCGCGCCCGAGCCCTTTGACGAGGGATCAGCTTCAATCAGTGTTGCCAACCGCGAGACGCGCTAGAGACGTCCCAGCTGAGCCACCACACCGCAATCAGAGCAGGGCTGCCAACGAGATGATTGCTGACCCCACAAAAATATATTCAGCGGAGGAGAAGGCAAGGCGCCTTCGGGGCTTCTTCGGGTTCTTCGGCCGCTTCGGCCGGCTTCGGCGAAAGCAGCGGTTGAATCCGCGCCAAGACGAGCCTGTCGCTGCACTGTACAGTTCAATAACAGCAGTAACTGCTCCTAGCCCGCAGCAAGTGGTACGAATGGGCGGTCACGGTCGCAAACCGTGCGCCCCTTTTGCACCATTTGATTCTGGCTCCTTTTTTTGGCGAGTAGAACGCCGGAGCAGTCGGTACACCTGGTACAGCGCAAAGAAAAGAGTTCCCAGGTGAGGCGGAATGACCGACAGAGCGACCGCAGCGTCAGCGCGTCATTCCGAGAAAAGGGGGGGGGAATTTGCGCGGGCAATCGGCCGCGCAGCCAAATCTGAAGGTGTCCAGGGCCTAAGCCCGTGCCTCGCTGACCTGCCCAACCTACCCTCATGCCGGCAAACATGTCAGTCATCGTTTAGTCCGATTTTATAAAGTGTCGTATCCGTCCGGGGAGAGCAATCTAGCCTCGTTTGCGGAGGACCCGCCGGCCGAGGGGGCGAGGGGCGGGGGGAGTGAAGGGGAGAGGATGTCGGCTCGGATCCCGCCGTGGCGGGAACGGCCGGGGGAAGGGGGAGGGGGAGGGGGAGCGGTGTGCGAGAGAGACGAGAAGGCCGACCGCGGACCGCGGCCGGGCCGCGCGTATGCGCTCAGCTGTGCGAAGCATCGGTGCGACAAGGACAGACAGAGAGGTCGAGAAAGGAGGGGAGCTTGGAGGAGTGGGGGCACCCGTCGAGGCGCGACGACGGTTCCGCGGGCGGCCGGCCGCGCGGCGCGCGCGCAGCCCACGGCGCCCGCAGCAGTTCGAGTCTGGCAAGCGCGCGCACAGGACCCTCACGTCCGTCGACCCATTTTCGCGAGTGTTGTGATTGTGTTGTTTTGACCATGGCGCGGTGGAGAGCCGCAGCCCTGGTGCTGGGGCTGCTGTGCGTGGCCGCGTTGACGGACGTCTTGGAGGCCAAGAGGAGCGGCGGCGGATCCCGCAAGAGCGGTAGCAGCGGCAGCAGTGGCAGCAGCTGGAGCAGCAGCAGCCGCCGCAAGACGGGCAACAGCGGCACCAGCTACACGGCCGCGCCGTCCGCGCCCAAGCACGACAGCGGCTCCTTCATCAAGCACGAGAGCAGCGCCCCGGTGCAGTCCTCCAACTACCCCAAGCAGCCCGCGTCCAACCCCAACTACCCCGGCGCCTCCAACCCGGGCTACCCGGGCGCTGCCACCGCGCACAACGTCGGCGGTGGCCAGATGTCCAGCAGGCCGTCCAACGCGGGCTACCCTGGCGCGTCCAACCCCGCCTACCCCGGTGCCGCCTCGCACCCCAGCTACCCGGCCGGGGGCGCCGCGCATCCGCCGCCCTACCAGCCCAACTACCCGCCGCCGCAGTACCACCCGCCCCCGCAGGGAGGCTACGCCGCGCCGCCCGCCTACCACCCGCCGCCAGCGTACCACCCGCCCGCCGGCGCGCCCGCCCAGCCCGCCGTGCTGCAGCCCATCTACATCCAGCAGAGCAGGCCCGCGTCGTCCGGCCTCGGCTCCGGCGCGTCTGCCGGCCTCGGCGCCCTGGGAGGCCTCGCCGCCGGCGCCGCCCTCGGCAGCGCCCTGTCCCGCCCCAGCTACGGCAGCCACCACGGCAGCTCGGGCACGCACATCCACGAGACCGAGATCCACCACCACTACCACAACGAGTCCAACCCGGCAGCCGCCGCCCCCGCAGCAGCCGCCCCTGCCCCCGCCAACGGCGCACCGCCCCCGTACGACCCCAACAACCCCTACAACTACCCTCCCGGCCAGTACCCTCCCGGCCAGTACCCTCCTCAGTATCCTCCTGGCCAATATCCTCCTCCTGGTCAGTACCCACCTGGCCAGTACCCACCTGGTCAGTACCCTCCTGGTCAGTTCCCGCCCGGCCAGTACCCGTACCCCTACCCCTACCCGGTGGACGCTAACGGCACTGTGATCAACGGCTCCGCCCCTGTGGACCCCGCCGCCTACCCTGGAGTCTACCCTGGCGCCTACCCCGGCGCTCCCGGCGCCCCTGGTGCTCCTGGTGCCCCCGGCGCTCCCGGCGCCCCGGCCCAGCCCGACGCAGCACTAGTCGCAAACTCCGGTGAGTGACCCCTCGCTTGCTCCCCCCAGTAACCGCACGTCACTTGTTTCCTTTGTTTTCGTTTGCGGCTGCCCGGCGGTGCCCGGCGTGGCGGACAGGACGGCCACCCCTCTGCGACGGGGCCCGCCCCGCCATGCCCCGCGCCACGCCGCGCCACGCGCCCTCCCCTCTCACATTCGAGGCCCTTCTCTCAAATTAATGACCCCCCAGCGGTGCTGTGGATGCTTCCAGGCTGGCCACCAGTGTGACGTCAGCAGCGTCACTGCCCTGCCTCTAACAATCCAACAGAGCTAATTCATTTTTCACAACCAAGGGCTTCCCCTGGTGGAGTTGATCCATGACGCAAGACTGACCTTTGAACGCAGCCAGACTTGACCGTTAAAACGCGGCACCGGTACTCGAACCGACAACCCGGCCCCCGCCACGCCGCCACGCCGCCTCCGCGCTCCGCCCTGGTTGGCCCGCTTTCGCTACAGGCGGTAGGCAGGGGCGTGACGTAAGCAGCCTGGAGCTGCTCCTCCATGGGCGCAGTACACCAGGACAGTATCGCGTCCTCGTGGCCGCCACGCCGCGACCCCGGCCGACCCGCAGAGGGGCCTAACTCCATGGAAACTGCCTGGCCTAGCCGCTTGTGTCGCTCTGCTCGCTCTGCATGCGGGAGCGGCATGACGCCGTATCCGGGAATTCCCCTCGCCGTGCAGTGTAGTGGCCCTGGGGCCCGGGGCCCGGGGCCCTGTGACCGTCACTCATTATCTGTTAATTTGTGAGAGCCTGCACGCCTGTCCGCCTGTCTGTCCGTCCGCCTGTCCGTCCGCCTGTCCGTCCGTCCGTGTTTGTCTCTGTGTGTGATGAACCCCCACAAGTGCCTAGCAACGCACGCTGAAGCAACCACTGGGTGCAACCACTGGGTGCAACCCCAGGGCGGGGTGCGCGTCGTCCTCCGCTGTCACTGTTGTTGTTGTTGTTGTTGCACGATAGACACAAACAAGGCGGTCGTTACCGTATCCTCCACGGCGACGTGGCGCGCGTGGCGCGTGGAGAATGGTCCGCGGTGTGACGCGTGCCTGCGCCGTCAGCGTGCCGCCAGCGCCCTCTGGCGGCGAGTTGCGTTGCTGTTGGCGGTGACTGTACGCCCACGGGGTGGCTCGGCCGCCCGCCTTTTGTCGAGGCCTGTACTCGGCGACAGGGACTTGCGACACGTCACGGCGTCGCCGCGTCGCCGCGTGACACGTCACGCGCGGCCCGAAACCAAAACCCGGCCGCGCGGGCGGCAGAATTGGCATGGCAACGCCGCAGATGGGAAGCGAAGCAGCGAGGCTCTGGAACGACTTTGAGGAACGAGGGGCGGAACGACTTTGACGCGGCCGGCGCGGCGGTTCCCAACGCGGAACGACGAAAGAACGACTTCGGGGGAAGACGCGAAAGACGGAGGTCGGCGTCGACCGCCACTGCCGTTACCCCGCCGTTACCTCTGGGTCGCAGACCGCCGGCACCGCTAATAGACGCGGTTGTCTCCCACTAACGACCTGCCGACTGTCGCTCTGTCTCTCTCGCACTCCTGGGTCGCGCCGTGCAGGTGCGAGAGAGAGACAGCGCGGGACAGCGATAACATACATGCCTGTTATCGCCGCCCAGACCGTGCCGTCGCGCTCTTATTTTGGCGGGAGATTTTGAAAAAGAAGGAAACGGAGGGGACTCGGACAAACAGTGTGGTGTCCGTGAGAGCGTCGTATGGATCCCCACGGCTTGGCGGGCCAGGCGGGCCTTTGACCTCGGCCTCCTCGTCGGCCACCTCGTGATACGGGGTGAAGGGAGGCCGACGCCCGCGCAGGGTGCCAGGGTGCCCAGCGACCGCCTCGAGGTGCGCCCAGCGCCCTAAGGTCTGCTCTGTCTCTCTCGCACCTCTGCGGTACGCCCCGTGAGTGCGAGAGAGACAGAGTGACCACCGGCCCTTTCCTTGGTATCGCGTGCCTCGGCGTGCCTCGCACGGGGCGGCCCGTCGGTTCGCTCTTATCGCGGGGGCAGTGCATAAATTACACGCTGCGAAAAACGCGTCGCTGCCGGGATTCGAACCCGCGTTCTTCCGGTGCGTTCGTCTTTATGACGCGCCGATGACGTCAGTGGAGTCAGCGACACGCGCACGACGGTCTCCTCGCGATCGGAAAAGTGCATCGCGTCGCAAAGTTTTGAAAAATGTGGCGCAGGTATCGTCGCTCTGCATCTCGCGTGCCCCGCGCGGTTTAGTTTTCTCTCTCGCTCTCTTTCTCTCTCCTGATGGCTGCTGGCGACTCGACTAGCGGCGTCATGGACGCGAACGCGCGCGACACGACCCGGGATTTCAAAATCGATGAAATGCGACGCGACCTTTCGGGCAGCGGGCAGCCCGGTGTGCTTCGTAGCGCGAGCCGGGGCGAGCCGTTTGGAACCCTTTCGGGGGTGTTGCCGTCAGCGATGCGATCTTAGTCATGGCTGTCCCTTTGAGTGTGACTGCGCCACTAAGAGCCGCCTGTCGCGTAGGTCGTCCGATACAGTGCGGGGGCGGACACGTCACACAGGCCGCGCAAGGTGTCACCGATGACACTCCCGGTGACTGCAAATGGCGGCCAGATAGACATCTCCGGGCCTGCGGGCTGCCGCCTGTCAACTCAGGTGCGACACTCCACTGTATTGCACCTGTGTGTGTGTGTGTGTGTGTGTGGGCGTGTGCATTATGTACTACTCATCAACTGCGAGATGGCGCGCACTCCACGTTGATGGCGTTTGCGGACGTGTGTGTGTGCATGTTTGTGTACGTGTGTGCGTGCGGCGGTGGGAGAGTGTGAGTCCGGGCGAAGGTCACCTTGGGGCCCAAGTGGCGGTCAGTTTGACGTGTACTGGCGAGCCACGTGTGAAAAAAACACTCACACTCGCCCAGTGGTCCAGAATCAGGACGTTTCTGGCGTGTGACGGCCTGAAGGGTTCGAGCGCCCGCGCGCGTTATATTTTGGCCGTGTGACCTTGAGGCCGGCCAAATGCGAGTCGGGGGTGGGGGGGCTGGGCGCCCTGGACTCACCGGCGCCGCGCCGCGCCACGCCGCGCCACGCCGAGGGCTGCCCGGTCGATACAGCCCTCACTGTAAGCGGCCAATGTTGAGCTCATCTAGACTTGTTGCGCAACGGGCGCACTCAAGCCCTAGCCCACCCTAGCTCCGCGCCGCTCCGCCCTCACCTGAGGGAGCCGTCTCAAACTTGGCGCCTGAATGTTTCATCGCGTTTTAATCAGACCTCTGTATGCAAAGAGAGTGTTCTGGGCCACTGGGTCGCCGCGAGATGACTTTCTCGGCCGACGAAATGAAGGGTGGTGCGTGGCGCCGGGGCTCTCTCTCGCACTCGTGGAGCGTTCGGCAGAGGTGGGAGAGAGACAGACAGGGCGACGGAGCACAGCGAATTCCCGCCAAGGATGTCGTCCCTCTCGCGGGAAGCGATGTTTTTGTGCGCCGCTTCCCCTTTTGAGCGCTAGGGAGGTCGCCGGCGTGCTGCTGCACTGCAAGGCCGTTGAAGGCAGGGCGATGAAGGCGGGCCGTCGGCGGCCAGAGGCAGGACGCACTTCGCGACGGTCAAGAACGCACAATTGCCAAAGTGTCCCCGGGAAAAAACAAGTATCGCTCCCAGACACTGATAACATTTCTGAAAAGTATCTCTTGATTGAGATCCGTTGTGGTGCTGTGACGTTGCAAAATCCCCCCCCCCCTTGCCCCTGGCCACCGTAGAAGCTTTTGGTCTGCTCCACTGGTTTTTTTCTGGCCGTTCTCGCGGCCGTTGCCGCAAACCGAACCGTGCCGTGGCGATGCGGGCAGGCGGGCGGGCCGCGGGCCGACGGCCCGGACCGCTCCACAACGGTGCGATTCTGCCGGGGCTGGCTCCCTGGCTTGCAAGACTCACCATGGAATGGACTGCGATTGTTGTTGGCTGCCGATAACGACAACGAGTGCGTGTCGCAGGCCAGGGCTGGGTGACGTCACCGTCCTACCCTTCCTGGCTTGTGGAACCGTCGGGGCCGCGATACTAGGGCGATAGCCAGTGGCCACCGGTGGCCACGCCGGTCTTCTGGCCCACTGTGCGCGCTGTGCACCATCGACCCGCCCCGTGGCGTCGTCTGCTCTGCGCGCCGTCCAGACTGGTCCAGTGTCCGTCGCTTTTGAGGGCGGCCCGGGGAACTGGAGCACGGCGTCGTGGCCGCGCATGTGGGTCGCCGTAAGGGCCCTGGCCGGCCCTGGCGGGGGCGGGCATGGCATATCTATGCAGAGGAGACCTGCCAAGGACGCCCTGTCGGAGCCACCTCCGAAAAGGCTGCGACTAGAGCGACGTGGGGTTTCGTGCCCAAAGCGGCCAAGCACCTTCTGGCTGACGGCGTCCTGGGTTCCCGTGTCGCGACTGGATTGGCGTGGCGACTGCCGCGACGAATTGTGCAAATAGGAATATGAGGCAGCTAGACAAGGCGCGGCCCCGCGCGGCCTCGCGGGCGCGGCCCTGCCCCGCCCCGCCCCGCCCCGCCCTGCCCCGCCCCGCCCCGCCCCGCCCCGCCCCGCCCCGCGAGCCAGCCGAGCGGAACGCCAGCCTCGGGCGCCGCGACGGAGGAACGAAGCCGCCTCCAACGGGCAAGGCGCGAGTCCAGATTTTTGGCCGAGGCTGCCGCGGGCGATTCGATTCCGAAGGATCGAGTGTCGTCGCTCTGTCTCCGTCGCACTCCCACGAGAAGCCCATCTTCCCCTCCTTTTCCGCTGAATTGGCCAGGCTTCGCTTCCGCGGTGCGATGCGGCGTCAGCGCCATGCCATTGTTCGACGCGTCAACACGCATCGCACGGCGTGCCGCGCGGTGCCGCGACATGACTCCATGGCTCCAAGACGGCGCCGGGCTTTGTTCGTCTTTTGTCGTCAACTTGCAAAGCATCGCTCGGACTCACCGGCGCTTCTAGGGCATACTGAAAATAAATTTGCTAAAAAGTTCAGAAAGTAGGCGGCGGTTTCGCTTGTGCAGCGCCCCGGTAAAACCCGCGGTGCCGCGGACAGATCGTCACGTCCGGGCGTTGTTGTCGTTTAGAGTTCGCCGAGGAAGTCACGTTACTGTGTGTTCGGAGAGCCTCGGGCTTCCCCGTTATCGCTGGGCTGCAAAGAAAACTAAATAGGCGGGAGGCTGTGCGCACGGTTGCCATGGCAACCGTCCGAAGGACTGACGACGTGAAACTGACTTCACCAAGCACTTGCTAACTGAACACCCCCTGTTTGATCCAGACGCTGCCGCCTCTAACGCGACCCTGAACGGCACCACGGAGATGCCCCCCGCGGCTAACACCACGGCTAACTCGACTGTCCCCTCTGAGACCCCCACGACCCCCGTGGCTCTCGGAGGCCCCACGGTCCCCACCGTGGTCCCCGGCGTGACCTTTAGTACCGCACCCCCGACGGCCGCCCCCGCCGTGACCCCGGCGTTGACTCCAGCAGGTAACCAGACGACGACCGCTTGAGGACCCGTCCTCCGAGTGCGGACAGTCCCCTAATGGTTGCGGGCTAGGTAGACTGTGACTAACATGGTGGTGGAGGTGCACCCCAGAGTTTAATTGACTTTATCTGAGTTAATTTGTTCTTGACCTGGAGTTCGAAGGGTATATTTTCCTCCTGAGACTACGACGTTGTGTGCTTGTTGAGATGATGGTGGTGGGAATTTTGGTGATGGCTTATGTGTGTGTGTGTGTGTGTGTGTGTACGTGTGCGCGCGTGCGTCTGTTCGTGTGAGAACGGTGAAAACCGAGGAGAAAACGGACAAAAATACGACGACGCGCTCCCTCTTGCCATGCTGCTTTTTCGGTGCTTTCCATCCCGCTTCATCTCATGAAAGCGTCTTTTCTACTGCTTTGATCTTCATCTCTCTATGCTTTTTAAAAACAATTTTTTTTCTGAAGTCTAATAGTTTTTTGTTTTGTGTTTTTGTGTTTCGTTAATTTTTTTGATAACGTTTCCTACTTGTGAACTTTTTCAATGTTGCTTTTGAATCTAAACCTGTGTTGTGTTTTTATTTTCCACAGGGGAAATAACTTAGAATTTTTAAAGTTGTAAATTTTTGATTGAGTTTTGGAGGAAATTTTTTTTTTGTCGATGTTATTTCCCCTTTTTGTGACTTTTTTTTTCGGAATGGCTGTCCGCTGCATGAGACCGTTCTTTTTGGTGCACAGGCTCCGCCGCCCAGCTGTCCTCTCGGAATAACGCCCCGGTCGTCACCCAGTCGGGCAAGGCATCCGCTGGCTTGGTGCTCCCCAGCTTGGTGAACCTGCTCCTGCCCCTGCTGGCCCTCGGCGTCTACAACGTCATCTCGTGATGAGAAAGTCAACCACCCGCCGTCGTCCTGTTGTTGCCAACTGAATGTACAGCATGATGTAACCTGTCTGAAGGAATGAAATGGTGCTGAATGTAAACTGTGGGATGCGGGGATTTTCTTTGGTTGAAACAATGAACCTGTTGCGTATTTTCTGTGTTTTTTTTTTTTCGGCTAGTCTATCGCTGTTAAATGTTTTTGGGGGCATTTACTCATCTGGTTTTCAGTGTGAAGGGAGCACGCAATACGCCATTGCGCTTGAGTTTGTTTTTTCTGGTTTGCTTCACTCTGAAAGTTTAAAAAGATCCCACGTGAGAGGGACCCTTGCAAATTATGTCGATCTGTCTAAAAATATATAAAAATTACAAAAATAAAACCTACGATCGGGAAGAAACTTGCCCCATAGTTTTCGTGTTTTTCTTATCTTTAGTGTTTGTTGATTCCAATTTAAGTTATTACAATGTTATCTGTACGGGACGGAGCGATGATGCTGGTGGCCGGAGAGCCGCAGTGCTTCTTTTCCAAAGGCTGTGTGACTGTGATGCCACAAGGCTGGCTTCCGGTTAGTTGGTGCTCTCGCCAGTGAAGCATGCACTGCGCTGGGCTGCATGAGCATTGGGCTTTCTGACTTCAGAGCCCTGCGTTTCAGAAGAACAGCCAGAGTTTCAGCGCTGCGAGTTAAATGAGGCCGTTCCAAACAATGGATTTGGAACGTGTTTCATTTTATTCGCGCTGGAAGCTCTGCCCGTTTTTAAGACGCAGGCGCCTCGAATCAGGAATTTCCTAACGAAAGTTCGCTGGTTGGTTTGAGCGAAAGCGTGCATGCCAGCGTACGATTGAGCATCATCAGTTGTGATGCAAGAGGCGTTAACAATGTTTCCAGTGTAGAGTTAAGAGCGTCTCAGGTAGTGGTTATTTTTGTACAAAGTGTATTTATTTTCATCCTCTTTCCTCCATTGTGCTGTACAGTTTTGGAGGGAGGTGTTGTCTTCTGTTGATATTTGGTCCTGACTTCTGTCTTGGCTTTGGCATCGAAGACGCCCAATAATGTGCAATGGATATCCTTAATTAAATGGGCCAATCGTCCACTCGGACGTTTGATGGCCTGGTTGGGAACTAGTCGATGCTCACTGGCACTTTGCATTTTGTCATGCGTGGGTTTGATTAGTTGTAGTCCGGATCTTCTAGGAGTACGTGTTTGTGATATGGATAATTCGCGAATACCCAGTGACGTGTGGTTCATAATTGTCATATGTGCGAAAATGTCTTCGTTTCGACGTATGTTTCTTGAGTATATTTGTTGCACTCGATTTTAAAGAATATTCCAGCTGCTTCTTCTTGTTTGATCCTTTGCACAAAATTTAATCATAACTCAATTTTTATGTATTTTTTTTTTTTTGAAAAAAAATTTGCTCTGATTTACTATTATACTTATACTTTGGTATAATGTAGTATACTAGTTGTTTACTTTTAGTGCAACTATTTTATTCGTTATTCTGTGATTTTTAAGTACTTGTAATTTTTTCTCGGTTCCACCTGATGCATTTTATTGCATCCTTTTTCTCATACCAGGATAGTTTGCCTGTCCTTTTGCCATTTTATTGGTTCTAGAAATGAAGTAGATACAGAAAAAGCGGTAGCCTTGCCTTAAACGAAGGGTATTGTTGATTTTGACTGATTATTATACTCTCTTCTTATAGACTCGTACTTTGTCAGTGTCTCTTTCTCCTCAAAGTGTGTTTTGTCTTTATATTTTACTACTTCGGACCATGCTTGGACCTTCCTCTGTTTCTCATACTTTACCTCTTAATAAAAGAGACAAACGACAACATGTTTCTTGTTGTGGCTCAGCTGCGCCCCAGAACCCTCACAGCAGACGAGCCGCATTTCGAGTGGCGGACTGGCGGGACGGCACAAGGTCTGGCACAAGGCCGAAGAAAGCTCCGGCCAACGTAATGCATGCGTTACACATTGGGACGGGATAAATCCTGGACGCACTTACGAAACGGGCGCGCCTCGGTATGACACGGAGACAGGCCTGGAGCTGGAGAAAGCCGGGCTGGGGCTCGGTCTAGGGAGGGGCAACTCATCAGTGACGCAATGCACGCGCCGCGATTGGATTATTGTTGTGTCCGATCGGCTCCGCAAGTGTCGGGGCGGTGCGTTTACAGTCAGCACGGCGCCCCAGTGGGTCCAGGGTTGGCATGCACCGTTGCCGCGGAAGAAGGCAGGAATTCCCTCCCGCCATGCGTCGGTGTTGACAGGGTTGCCAACCACAGCCTGCCTACTAGGCAACTTCTCGAGAGCAAAGCCCATCTATTGCCAAGGAGACAGGCTGAGGTTGGCAACCCTTCTGGCACTCGTAGCATCGCGGGCATTTTGCTGTCCTGTCGTGGCGTGGAGAGGGAATGGGGCGTATGTATTTGTTTGGGTTCAGCCGTCCGGCCCTGAGCCGCGCCGTGCGGTGAGGCCGAGAGCACTCCCAAGATGGCCGGGGAAGTGAGACGAGTCCAGACGGCCCGCGAGACTGCCAAGCACACCGCCACCGCGCGCCGAGTGGAGTAAACTCATGGAGGCCGCGTGAGGTTGTTGTCGTTCCGTTGGCAAGATCACGGACCGCCTGCCTGCCTGCCTGGGTTGGCAGCACTGCCCCGCTTCCTGTTCCGCGGTGAAATATTTTCGCCGGCGCGCCGGGCGTAGTACTGTGACTGCGCGCCGCTTTCCAAGCGAAGCGCTTCGCGCGGAGTCGGTGTATCGACACTTTACAGCCCTAGACGCGCGTCGTCTTCGGGGAGGCCCGTTGCGTTTCCGCGCTCCGTTGTTACCCAGCACCGCCGGCACACTACAGGGAAAGGGAGTCGTCTCGTCATGACGGCAGAGGAGTCGACGTGATTAAATCGAGTGAAAGCATCTCTGTGGTTTTTCATTTTCCTTCCGGGGCAATGACAGGCGGCATCTACCGCCGCCCATCTCTGCGACATCCTAGTCGTGGACGGGAAATATCAGATTGGGGCTTCTTGTTTTCAAGCGTCGAAAAGGGGGAGGGGGAGGGCCGTGACCGTCACTTGGAGGGTCTCCCTGCGTCCGTTCCTGTGCAAAGCTGAAGCGATCAGGAGGGAATATGATTTCCCCGAATGACTGGCGGCTTTGCAGGGCGCTGCGGCCGGTATACACTGGTAGTCGGTATTGGCACGTTGGCACACACTTTCCTCTCCGTCCGACACATGGGAGGGGAACGGGGAGACGGGGAAAACGGAGGGAGAAACGGCCTCACGCCGCTCCCTTTCTGCTGTTCCGCCGCGCCAAGCCGGTGGCGCCCTCCCTCGGCAGACGGCCGAACTGCCGGCAAGGCCGTGCGTCAGAGCGCTGCGCGCCGCCCGGCGCGGCAAGTTTGAATTTTGAACCTCCTCGCGTCGAGTGCCTGGTGAAGTCATCACACTTCAGCTTGATTGAGCAGTGATTTTAGCCAGACAGTCGCTGTCTCACACTGCCAGCCGGAGGCGCTCCCGGACCTCAGTTCTTGCCAGGCTCGGCCAGAATCTCCAGGTTGCTCAGTGCCGCTCTGCCCTCGGCTCTGCCATGCGCACCGCGTTGGTCTTCGTGGCGTTGGCCGCCTGCTGGATGGTGGCCTCGTCGGCGCCACTGCCGGCCACTTCTAGCCCTGTGGACGGCGTCGGAGGTTCCGGCGACGGCGCTGGAGGTTCTGGTGACGCCGTCGGAGGTTCCGGTGACGACGCTGGAGGCTCTGGCGACGACGTCGGCGGCTCTGGCGACGGCGCTGGAAGTTTTGGCGAAGGCGTCGGGGGTTCTGGCGACGGCGCTGGAGGTCCCGGCGACGGCGTCGAAGGTTCCGGTTATGGCCTCGGAGGTCCTAGCGACGGCGTCGGAGGTCCTGGTGAACGCGCTGGAGGTCCGGGTGGCGCTGGAGTCCCTGCTGGCAGCGTCGGAGATCCCTTTGACATTCCCCCCGGAGCCCCTGCCGGCGCCGCAGCCCCCCCGTCTATCATCACGTTCCCCAAGTACAGGGAGTGCCACAAAGGCGAAAAATTGGACCAGAGGGGCAGATGCAGGAATCGTTGGTGAACCAGTAAGTAGTATTCTCTTCCCATTTTGTCCATGGTTGTTACTTTGTGTTTTGGGTCGCTTATTCTCGCCATGGCCAGGTTTGCCATCGACCGACAGTGCTGGGGAAGTCCACTCGCTGCTGTAATTTAGCAGCGAGTTTGAGCTTTACGCCCACTGCCGTATCCGCCTCGCCACCGCGTTTTCGCTGCCGGTCTCTGTTTCCGCCAGGTTGCCGAGGTCGCCTCAGTGCCGCTCTGCCTGCCATGCGCGCCGCGTTGGGCTTGGCGGCGTTGGTCGCGTGCTGGGTGGTGGCCTCTTCGGCGTCGCTGCCGACTAGCCCAGGGGACGTTGCCGCCGAAAGCTCCGGCGACTACGACGATAGTTTCGGCGAGCCCGTCGAAGGCTCTGGCTATGCCGTTGAGGGCTCTGGTTCCGGCGACGGCGTCGACAGTTCCGGTGACGGCAGCGGTTCCGGTGACGGCAGTGGTTCCGGTGACGGCAGTGGTTCCGGTGACGGCAGCGGTTCCGGTGACGGCAGTGGTTCCGGTGACAGCGGCTCCTGGGAGGGATGCAATGACCGTTCTGGTGGCTCTGGCAGTGGCGACGGAGACTCGAACTGCCTACCGCTTCCATCATCCTCCATCATCAAGGCCCCCAGGTACAGGACGTGCCACAGGGGCGAGAAACTGGACCGGGCGGGCAACTGCAGAAAGCGCTGGTGATTACCCCGAAGCAGTAAGTAGTTGGAACTTATTTTTGGCCGCGGGTTTCGTGTTTACTCTGCCTGGCCGGTGGGGCCGGCCTGGCCGCAGTGCCGCGGCAGCCAGGCCCGCAGCCAGGCCGCCAGGAGGCCATGGCGGAAGGCGCCTTGGACGGCGTCTCCGAGGCCCCGACGACGCCGGGGACGCCGATCTCGGTGTTCCTCGTGCCGGACTTGGCGGCGCGCGTCCCGCGGAGCTCGTTGGCCGAGGCGCTGGTGGTGGTGTGCAGCGTGCTGGTGGTGGGCATCACCCTGCTCTTCGTGCTGCTCTTCATCAACAGCCACTGCCCGAACGCTGTCATTTTCAACAGTGTGTCGAGTTTCCAAGTGAGCGTTTGAAGTATAGGATAGTTTTATCAGGGCAACGGCCGTCCCACCGTCAAAACTGACATGTTTGGCACGGTAATCAACGAAGTAATTAGCAAGCTGAGTGTCAACAAGGTGGCCTGTCAGGAGTACCATGATTGATTTCGGCGTGGAGTTCCTCTGATCGGGACGCTGGCTCCAAGGTCGCCGTCTGGGTGTTTCTTTCGGGTCGCGGCATGTGGCCGTCGTGTACAGCCGTGCTGGCGGCGACGGTCGCGGCTTGTTCTGGTGTGGACCATAGCAGGCACGTTTCAAACATTGTCGTGTCAACATTTTGTTTGTCTTGGTGATGGAGCCAGTGCTTCCAGAAGGTCCACGGTCGTCCCGTTGCCGGTGCCTTTACGCGTGTGTCGTGTGTGCTGAAGTGTGCGAGCGGTCCTGCGCCGCATGCGGCAGCCTAACGGTCGTGGAAAGCCCTTTCCTGCGGCGTGGCGAAGCGCCTGCGGTCAGCGGGGTAGGCCGCACACCGCGGCCGCGCTGCGTGGCGGGCCGGCCTACCTGCAAGGCGTTCGCCTCCCCGAGTCCCCCCAGCCTCCCGCGCGGACCGCCAACCGCCAACGCGGACCTCAGGGCGGTCCGCTTGGAAAATCTGAAAGTGTCATTTAGTCTTTTAATCGGACTCCTTCCGAGAAGCACGCTGCCCTTCCCCTCCCCTCCCCGGGCGGCGCGCCTGGTCCGTCTGGTCTCCGTATCGGCGTCCTAGCCCGGCAGCCTTCAGTGTGAGTCTGGCCATGCTGCGGCGCGCGTGGCTGCTGCTGGTCGTGCTGGTGGTGGCGGTGCTGGGCGCGACGCGGTGCGCCCCGTGCCACGCCGGCTGGCTCAGCGAGTCCCCAGAGACGGACACCCCCGCGCCGCCGCCACCGCCGCCGTCGTTGTCCACCGAGGTCGCCGACGAGGAGGTCCTGCAGCCGGTGGCGAGTCAGCCCCTCGGCGCCGCGCCGGCCGAGGCGACCACCCGAAACACCGAGTCCCACAACAACATCATCCGCGTGCCCGTCTGGAACTCGTGCCCCGAGGGGCAGTCCCGCGACCGGCGCGGCAAGTGCAGGGCCAAGTGGTAGCGCGGTGAGTGCGGCCCCACGCACCGGTGTCGATAGGGTTGCCAACCTCAGCCTGCCTCTGGCAGCATGTGCGCTTTGCTCTCGAGAAGTTGGACAGGCTGAGGTTGGCAACCCTCTCGCCGGTGCATCGTCGGTGGGAAGTTTAGCCTACTGATGTGGCAACGCTGAGTGCGGGCCGCGGGCCACCCCCTTGGACCTGGTCAGTGACGCTGACGCGCTCCTCGATCTGATAGCGGCGCGACGTCAAACGCTCTCGGACAGTGGCAGTAAACGGCTTGGCCGTAAACTACTGAGGAATACCCGGCCTGCCAGAGCGACTCGGTGGCTCCAACAAACACTATCGCCAGTGCGACTCTGCTCCGCTCTGCTCAGCGTCCCGGACGGAGCATGGAGGCGTTCTGCGAGATAGCCGCCGCAGCGCGCGGCCTGGTTCCCTGTTTCCCTGCTCCCTGGTTGCGCATTTGTTTTTCAGCCGAGCCTGCCGCGCTGCCGAAATCCTATTCGTCCGGCAAATTGGACCATAACGCCCTCGCTGCTGTTGCAGGCAACACCACGCCCGTGAGCGACACGACCACGGCGGCGCCGTCCAGCACCACGACGGTGTCCGCGGCCACGACCGTCGCCGCCTAGCCGAGACAGAGGAAGGAGGCCGTTGTAGCGACGGCCGCGTCCGCCGCGTCACCGAGACCATCAGCTGCAGGTCGGGCTGATCGACCATAGTCACAATGACGGGTTTACTCTCTATTTTTACAAGTGCAATACCGGTAATACCATTGTAATTAATTACGAAACCGAACGTGTAAAAGAGTTAACGTATGACGTATAATGCACAAAAGACCAAAGTTGTTTATGTTTTTATAAGAAGTATTTTTATTTTGATTGTTTTTTTTGTGTGGGTGACCTTAGGAGGCCCGATGTGTGATAGACAGGAATGAACCAGGGTATTTTAAGCAGCTCTCTGAAGAGTGTTATTGTATAATCCACTATGCTTTACGTGTGCCGCACTGTAGAAGGCAAATAAAATGCACTTTGTCAACTTTTTGTTTTCTCTGTATTTCCTCAACTACTTACACACGCAAGTAAGGAATAATAAGACACAAAATTGTAAGTACTATTATTATCAGAAATTCAGTCGATTGATTTTTAAACAGCCTGTAGGTTTAGAAACATAGTGGCTCCCGCAACTCTATCAAAGCCTACGTTAAGTATTAGTAGTCGGTATTATAAGAAACGAAACTATCAACAAAACAGAATATACAAAAATATTTACACAAAAAAGAAGAAACTTTCACTACACACAAAGAGAGCTTGCCTTTTATTTCTATTTTATTGTTAACAGACAAATATAACTGGAATCACAGAAACAACAGTACAGTAATGAAACGAAGAAGATCAACGTCAATGTGGAAACTGGTTGTGGGCGTTTCACTTAAATTTTCCACTGGAAGCACGCAACACCGGGTTGAGATACTGAGATCTGAAACTTCCGGCGGTGGGACATACGTAGAGGGACCAGGCGGGCTGCCCTCGGGGCTGCCACCCATGGCACGAACAACAAACTTATGGCAAGTAACTCGGACAATCTAAAGAAACGAGACTCAATAAGATAAGGTGAAGTAATAAATACAAAGTGTACGTTCGCCATGCTCCTCAGTGCACTTCTCACCTGAGGACTGGCTGCCCCCCAAGTGATTGGGCTGGAGGCGGTTTTAAATTGAATCAAGTCGCTAGCTCAACCCGCGCTGGACAGTGCTGAACTGCCCACTCGACGGGGATTCTCAGTCGCTAAAAACACGCGCGGAAAGTCCACTTGCAGCTTGGCATCACAGATTGAACACATTTCGAGAGCACGAAACGCGTCGCCGTCCCTGTCTAGCAGTCCGTGCTCGCGGCGTCTCGCTGGCTGGCCTCGCTGGGGCCCGCCTCGCAGTACAGTCTCGGGTAGTGACTAGCATCGGTCGCACTTCGCACTCACTCTTAAACACTAGGACCGACGGTCGGGTTTTATCACAGTGCAGCTTCGTTTTCCCGGCCAGCCGGCCAGCCCGGAAGATCCATTTTCCATCCAGTCTTTCCCGCCGTTTTTTCGAACTGCGGGCTGGCGGCTGGCGGCTCGGCGGGCAGTGGTGACTGGAGTCCTGGAGCACGGCAGCAGTGCGGCGCTCTAGGGCTCTAGCCACCAGGGTCGGCGCCGGCTAGCTCAGCGACATGCTGGAGGCCGTGGCCATGGACGAGGTGGACGCGGTCAACGAGGAGGCGTCGTCGGCGAAGGGGACGTCCAGCGAGGCCGGCAGGGACAGCGCCGGGCTGATGACGTTGGCCACGTCGGGCACGTCGTCCTTGGGCTGCCCGGGGAGCAGGCCGGGCGGGAACAGCGCGCCGTACGCGGGGGGCTGATCCAGCTCCTCGTAGGCCGGCGGCCGCGAGGGGTCGTCCTCCAGGTCCGAGTCCAGCACCAGCACGCCGCCGGTGGCGCCCATCTGCCAAGCCTGCGGGTCCAGAAGACGGCGTCGCTTAGAACAGCCTCCAGGGCGGCTGCACAGTGGACTAGAAGACCGGAGGTGGTCAAAATCCCGGACGCGTTTTGAGCTCCAGAGTTGCTAAATGGGACTGGAACCGTACGTGTGACCCCACCAACGGATGTCCCTCCGAATGAGGAATCCATTGGCGGGGTCACACGTTCGGTTCGAGTTCCATTTAGCGACTCTAGAGCTCAAAACGCGTCTAGAATTTCGACCGCCTCCACCGGTTTCTGGCCCACTGTGGGCACGTGTAGTTTCAAACGGGCGTTCACCAACTGACCTGCGGCATGAGCACGGTGGTAGGGGGGTGCGTCGGGTTTGACGCCGAGGCCGACGCCTTGGGTTGCCGACAGCAGCACTCCCACAGCCCGCACAGCATCAGGAAGGCTCCGCACACCAGCATGCCCAGCATGAGGTAGCCCCAGGGCCCGTAGGTGGACAGCGTGTCTGGGATGGAGTGGTCGGGCGCGGGCTCTGCGCGAGAACAAGGAAGGCAGTCAGTCAGGGGTTCGTTGTGATCAACTCTGAACACGCACTGTTGGTACTGACGGTGGCTCGCCGTGCGGTTGGGGCCTGGCCATCTCAGCAGGTCCATGATCAACTCCTTGGCGTCGCCGGCGCCGACGTCCACCTTGCTGGCCTGCCGCGGGACCTCTGCTGCAACAACAACGTCTTATTTTCAAATCAAAGTCACGAAAGTCGGCTACAATCTACACGATGCGTCTGGATCGTGAAGGGTTTGCCATCCCTGACGCTGAGGTTGACTACCCTCGCGGCACGTGCATCGGGGGCATTGCACAGTCGACCAGAAGACCGATGCCGGCGGCCAAAACTCTGGACGTGTTTTGAGCTCCAGAGTCGCTAAACAGGACTCGAACAGAGGGTGTGACCCCACCAATGGATTCCTTGTTCGGAGAGCATTCCATTGGTGGGGTCACACGTTCGTTTCCAGTCCCATGTAGCGACTCTGGAGCTGAAAACGCGTCCGGGATTTGGACCGCCTCCACCGGTCTTCTGGCCCGCAGTGCACTGCCGCCCACTCACCGACGAGGCTGGCGCTGCTCCTGCACTTGGTGGGGTCCTCGTCGTGGCCGTCCATGGGGCAGTTGGGGTAGCCGTCGCACGCCAGCTCCGCGGCCACGCAGAAGCGCTGGAAGCGCGGCCGATGCTGGCACGGCGCGAAGTGGCTCCGCTTGCACATTTCCCCTGCAAGGCGACCAGGCATCAGACACACAGACACAGACAGTGGCGGAGAGTGTGTGTTGGTGTCTGCGCGCTTGCAAAAGTCGCGCTTGGCGGCCAGACCGGCCTAGCCACGCGCACGAGCGACATTGCAGCCGCCACTGTGGGTCGAAAACACCAGAGAAACACTCCGGATCAACTGAACTGCGCGCTGCGCACGAACCTCTGCCGATGGCGGTGAGGATGACGTTGTTCGCCACCTGCGACGCGCGCTGCGACTCGAGCGGCGGCCACCACTCCAGGGTCACGTTGTTGGGCGACCACTCGCTGAAGTTGAGGTTGCCGACGGCCGCCCGCTGGCAGAGGTCCACGGAGAAGAGCACGGAGCAGCCGGGCATCTGCGGCAGCGAGAGCGGGCAGTGAGCATGGGCGCCTGGGAGGTAGGCCACCCACCCGACTCCAGCGGCTGGCGTTAAGGCGCCTGGAGGGTAGGCCACCCAACCTACCCGCCGGCCGAAGCGCAGAGCCTGGAGGTGGGCAGCCCAACGGGCTCCAGTGCACTGTGGTGGCGTCGCCGCCGCCTAGGTCGACGCGACGATCGGCGCGCCAAGAGTTCCCGAGTTTCTAGCCGGTTCTTACCAGTGAAAGTCTGCACGAGGGCTCGCTCGTCGGCACCTCGTGCGAGACGGCCGAGGCGACGTCCGCGGCGGGGCCGGAGGCTGTCGCGGCGCTGTTGACGAGCACCAGGGACAGCTGGTACCCGGGCGGCGCGGCGACGCTGACACGGCAGGGGCCGACGCGGTCCTCGGCGGGGCGGCGGTCGCGCAGCTCCAGCGCCACGGCGGACTCCAGGCCCTTGCCGGCGAGCAGCACCGGCCGCGCCGTGCAGAAGTTCTCCGACGGCATGCCTGCGAAGGACAAGAGAGTGTCAGGCGCGAGCGATTCCGGCGGGCAACAGCCCACACTTTGAACCCGGCATGTCTTTACAGTGACCAGTTTTGCGGGGCCACTGCTTCTCAAACGAGTGCCGCCAATGGCCGCCAAGCGTTTGGACGCAGCGGTCGCCCAAAGTCATCCCGACCCGAACAGAGGATGGGCGCGCGGCTTACCCTTGCGGACGGCGGACAGGGCGACGGCGGCGACGCGGAGGACGCGCCCGGGCCGCGGCGGCGTCCACGTCAGGCTCAGGTTGTGGGGGATGCTGACCATGTCCGGCTTGGCGGCGCGCACGGCCCCCTCGTCGCACAGGTCCACCGACAAAGCCAGCTCGTCCTCGACGTACTGGACAACGAAAAGAGCAAAACCTTTAAGATCCAGCGCGTGGCGACGGCACGCCTCGCCGCTGACCGGTCCCGGAGGGCAAAGTCCGGTGGCCGCGTCGAGACGGTCGGCGTTCATTTGCGACTCACCAAGGCCAGCGTGCACGACGCGGCGTCGTTGTCGCTGCCGACGCTCTCCATCACGGCCTCCGCGAACATGCGGCCGTCCATGCTGGGACGCGACGTGTCGACGGCGTCATCGTCGTCGTCCTCGGCCAGGTCGGCGACGGGCGCGGGCACCAGGACGACGCCCAGCTCGTAGGCGGGCGGCACCGTGACGTCCAGGCGGCACGGCCGCGGCGACGGCGGCGAGGACGCCAGGTCGAGCTGCAGCAGCTGCAGCGAGGACTCGGAGGACGGCGTCAGGTGCAGCGGGGCGGACACGCCGCAGAAGTCCACGCCTGCGGCCCAAAATATGTCTGCCGTGAGTTTGAGTGAGTGGCGCTCAACGACACGCGGTTCGGTTCCGCGTTGCCGCGCCTCGCCGCCAATGACGGACGAGTGAAAAGCCGAGCCGGCGTGGCAATGACACTCGGCCAATCAGAGCACTGCGGGGCACACTGCCATTCCTTTTCCGTTTCCCGTTTCTGTAAGTGCTGTACATCACGCACTGCCCCGGCACTGCCCGCCGCACACACTCACACACTCTCACTCAGGCCGCGCAATGGCACGCCTATAAATTTGACCGCCACCTACGGATGGATGCGGACTGGTTCAGATAGTCCTTTTCGTCGCTGTCTCTCTCGCGCCTGAAGGGGACGCCAGCTGGAGAGGAAGGTGTAAAAAACGTGGGAAAAAAATAACAAAGGTGTGAATCTAGGATTATAAGGCGACGACTCGGCGTCGGGGGATAAAAATACGTATATATGCGACGGAGAAAGAGCAAGTATTGGCCGTACATTATAGATGATGTTGTTTAGATACGAGTCTTCTCATTTCCTCATTGCGTGGACTGGCGGGGACTGGTGGGGACTGGGTGGCCTTCCGGACACGCGGACGCGCGGCGAGGAGGGGAGGGGAGGGGAGGGGGTGGAGATCATTCACCGGTACGGCCACAGGCCACAGCCGCGGTCCAGACTCACCAGACTCTCCAGACGCCATCCCGACGACCGGCGGCTCATCCCACTCATTCAGTTTGCTTCTACTTTATTTGTGTACCCGCATCGGCGTGACCGGCGGGGCGAACGACGGACACCGAGCGCGGAGAAGAGAAGGGAGCACAACGCGCCGCGCAGACTCGTTCTATGAGAAATTCGCACGTCGCCGTTCGCCGCAACCCGTGTAATTCTCATAACAGTTTTGAGCGCCTTTTGTTCTTCTTCCGCGGCGATTGGGAAGGCGGGCAGGGCGCAGAACACACATCCGGCACACACAGACACACACGCACACAGACACACACAGACACACACACACAGCACAATTTGGTGGTGCGCGTCATGCGGCCGCGGGCGACACGGCGTCTTATCGTGGGCCGACATCGGTACAGTCGCCGAGGGCAGCAGCATGGAGTGCAAACCGCCCAAGTCGGAGCACAGCGGCCCGGCTGCATGGCTTGCCGTTGTCCGTCGTCTCCCTCCCACCGCCACGGGGTGGCAGCGATCCGACTTTGACAAGACTGGTCCAGCAGTCTCTCTCGCACTCGCTGGGCCCCTTGCTGGCTTCGCAGGTGTATACCTGACGTAATTTAGGGTCATTTGTTGTCGATTGTGTGTCTCGTCTGGGAAGACTAGTCCCATCTCCCATCTCGCTGGGATGCGACACCTGCACCTTTTTTTGGAGCGTTTGCTGGGTGGCGGGAACTGAGCACCCCCGAAAGGACCCCTATCGCGGTGACATCCGCCGCGGTCGAGACGACGCCTCAGCCAATGAGGAGGCTCCCTTTTGGCGCGAAACAGCGCGTCATTGTACCGGAACGAAATCCCGGAGCTGGTCCGTCCGCACCGTCTCACTTTTCGGCTAAATGTCGCGACTCGCCAGTGCCATCATTGCGTTGCGTCACCGCGGTCGTGCGGGGTGGCGTACTCATTCGGCCTACACCGCGACCTTGGGCGCCACGGCGTGACCTTGAGCCCGCCGACTTTATTAATCAAGTGTAGCACTTTGGCGGGCGGCGCGGGGCGGCTCCGGGACGCGACCAGGAAGGGCTCCTGCTAGAGCGTTGCCCCGGCCACGGTGTGTCTCTCTCGCACCCGCGCGCGACGTGCGCGACGCCCCACGAGTGCGAGAGAGAAAGGGCTGCCCGCTGGGAATCAGCGCGGCGCCTCACAACGTGCCGCGGATGCGCGGCAAGGTCGAATAGGTAGAGCATCCCGTCATCCCGTGGCAGCGCGAACCACGGCCCGCGAACCGCCGCCCCCCACTGAGGCGGAAAGGTGGCACCATGGTGGCGCTTGCATCGCAGCTCGGCGCCCATTTCGATGGTCAAAGCGTCTTCTAGGAATTTGACCTTCTCTGGAGACAGACAGCGCCCCGCAGACTTGGAGTCCCCGGTAAGCACTGCGGGGCGCAGCTACGCAACCCATCCTATTCACCTGATCTGGACAATAGAGTGTTCGGAGCAAATCGAGATCCCTTTTTTTACGTTCGCCGGTCGGTAGTTGATTGCGCTTCTCTAGTGACCGTTTACCCCCTCCCCCTCCGCCTTGGGCGCCGTGTCTTGTTCGCGGAGGCGCCTCCACGCGGTCCTGGTTTACGCCCTGCCCCCGGCCGCGGCCTGGGGCCCAACGCCGCGATGGACTTGTCGCCATAAGACTACGGGCAGGCTGCAGCGAGGGTCATCTGGGGTTATCAGCCAGTCGTGATGGCACCAGTTGCAGCTACCCGGCTCGGCTCGGCACCGCCTCGGTAGTCGGCTCGGCTCGGCTCGAACCGTTTTCGGCTGAGGTTGGCGCCGTCGTCGGCCCACAGAAAACAAGAAAAGGCTGTAAAAGGCTCGCCGCCGCGCCCGCCGCGCCGCCAAGTAGCCACTGGCCGCCACTTGAAGCCAGCAATCTCTATTATTGGACCGAGTCGCCACAAAGTTCGCCAAGTCTGCCGCTAAAAGTAGTTGGTGTTGTTACGCGCCACTTCCCTCAGCTGGCGCTGGCTTTGTGATGCCCCATTTGACTTCCGCTCGTCCACGTGGCTTGCTAGCAGCTGACGCTGCGGCGTTGCGGGCACAACGGGGTGTCTCCATACAAATCGGCTAATTTTGTTTATGGGGAATTCCCACATAGGGAGGCCGAGAGGAGGGCACTGAAAAAAAAGTCTAGTTACAGCAACTAGGATTTTGGTGCCAATTACCAGACAGTCTAATTGAATAGGAACCAACAAGGAATCTAGTTACAAATACCAGACTGCCTAGTTGGTCTCTGTCTAGTAAAAATAACCAGATTCTTGGTAAACCTTACCATGCCATCAGGCCCCCAATCTAGTAAAATTAACTAAATTTCTAGTAAAAATTTTGAATTAAGACAAGACAAAGCAGAAGAAGAAAATGGAATTTCTCAACTCTACGCCCCCACATGTTCGCTGGGAGGTCGTAAAGCTGAGAAGGATTATTTTCCAGTTTGCTTCTAACCGGGATCGAACCACCCATCTTCCGCTTACGAGCCAAGCTCGTTACCACTGCGCTATCACGCCACATGGGAGAGCCGAGTGTCCCCGCCCGGTGGCTCTGCGCATCGTTTTGCCGCTCATCTAAGGCAGCTAAAGGAGTGGCATTTCCGGCTACTAAACGGTGCTTTGGAGATTGCAGGGAACCGAAGGGATTCAAGACGCATTGTTAAAATTTAGTCTCTTGCAATTTTAAATTTGAGGACAATTACTAAGCAGTATAGTTAAATTTACCAGGAATATTAACTAGACGTCTGGTAAAAGTTACCATACCCATGCTAGTAGATATAACTGAAAATCTAGTGAAAAATACAAGGTTTTTAGTTATTATTACCGGTGCTCGTTTAACTAGGAACCGTCTGGTACTTTTAACTAGACTTTTTTTTCAGTGGGGGTAAGGCGAGGGGGATGTTGAGGGGGAGACCCGGCGACATCCCCGGCGGACACACCACGCCTTCGTGTTTTGTTTTTATTTGACCCACCCTTCTAAAAAAAAGGGGAGGGCCTATGCATTTGGGAGGTCAGTTTGATGGTCGCACTTGTACGACCGCATCCAACCTTTAACCTACCGATGAAAAGGGTGTCCGTTGACGTTATTTAGCAACGCACCGGCATCAGGATGCACCGTGATGCACGGACTTTGGAACACACCCCGGGGTCGTGACGCCGCCGCTTTCCCCGTGTCTCTCTGTCTCTCTCCGGCCGTATAAAAGTGGAGGCGGTTTCAGGTCGTCGTCCTTCTCTCTCTGATTGAGGCACGATCGCATCGACTGAGCGGCCATCTCCTGCTTCACGGTCAATAATGGTTCGATTTCTCTTCTATTTATCGACAACAGCTCGCCGCCGCCGGTTCGTTTGCTCGCTTGCGCGCTTGCTCGCGCCGTGAGCACGAAAGCAGATTCCCATTCATTTGCATTTTCTAACCGGCAAGCATGGTGGCTGGACAGGAACAACAGGCGGCCGTTTGTAAACAAAAACAGGTGGCGGGGATCGAGAGCTCGAAAACAGGCGGACGCCCTCGGAAGGTCCGGGGGCTCGACCACACTTTTGGCCTGCGTCGCAAAATACTAAAAAATAAAAAAGAATGGTGAAATTGAGCTCTATCGTCGAGTCTAGCGCAATGCTCCTGTGTCGGCCCCTCCCAGACGGGCGCCAAAAGTGCACCGATCGGCAGTACTCTCCGCCTGCCGTGATAAGGGGCCGGTCAGCTGAAGGAAGTGGGGCCGGAGCCGTGTGAGCGGAGCATGAGGTAACTTCAAACACGTCGACAAGCAGCGCGAGGCGCGGCAAATGCCGGGTAAATGCAGGGTAGCGTTAGATTGGGTTAGGTTGCCGGTCCAGAAATGGCGGGAAAAGCCACGTGCCGGGCGCCGCTCGGCGCCGCGGCGCTCCGCAGCCGTTCCCGCGGTCCTCTGCTATTTGCATGCTCCTGGCCAACTAGTTTCCTCGTTGCCCCGTCACGCCAGCGAAGCAGCGAAACCGCACAGCCGCAGTTTCATTCCCTCCGTTCCCTTCGTTCTCGGCATCAACAACGCCCGTCCAAAGACACGCGCGCATTGTCGCTGGGACCGGCCGGG